GGGGGAGGGGGGGGGGGGGCTGGGGGGGGGGGGGGGGGATAGGTGGGAGGAAGGACAGGTTAGGGGGGCGGGGACCAGCTGTACTGGTTTTGGGATGCGATAGGGGGAGGGGAGATTTTGAAGCTTGCGAACCCTGCAGCCCAATGGTATCAATGTGGAGTTCACAAGCTTCAAAATCTCCCCTCCCCCTATCGCATCCCAAAACCAGTACAGCTGGTCCCCGCCTCCCTAACCTGTCCTTCCTCCCACCTATCCCCTCCTCCCACCCCAAGCCCCAGCCCCATCTCCTACCTACTAACCTCATCCCGCCCCCTTGACCTGTCCGTCCTCCCTGGACTGACCTATCTCCTCCCTACCTCCCCACCTATCTTCTCCTCTATCCATCTTCTATCCGCCTCCCCCTCTCTCCCTATTTATTTCAGAATCCCCTTCCCCTCCCCCATTTCTGAAGAAGGGTCTAGACCCGAAACGTCAGATTTCCTGCTCCTGCTGTGTTCATCCAGCTCTACACCTTGTTATTTCAGATTCTCCAGCATCTGCAGTTCCTGCTATCTCATTAACATCCTCAGTGACTGAATCAACTCCTTTCACTGATCCACAGCTCCAACTCCTGTGATCTGCTCCTCTCCTCCCAGAATCTCTCTATGCTGCTCCCCACTCCACCATCCCCTCCCTCAGTTCATAGAATCATAGGACCCCTACCAGTGTAGAAGCAGGCCATTCGGCCCATTGAGTCCATTCTACCCCCAACCCAAACAGCACCCCACTCAGACCCATCCCTCTACCCTTTCCCTGTAACCCTACATTTCCCATGGCCAGTCCACCTATCCTGCCCATCTTTGGACTGTGGGAGGAAACCAGAGCACCCGGAGCGCTGTGAGGCAGCGCTGAGCCGCTGTGCCACCACAAATCACTGTACCACCCCAGTTGCCTGGCCATTCAAGTACATTTCACCCCCTCACCACCCTGATCTCTCACTCCGTCCCCTATACCTACCTCCATCCCAGCCCGCCTCTCAGTTGGGCAAGCTGTGCCCAGGAAACTGAGCCCCAAACTGTTGATCAGGTCTTGAGGAGAGATGCAAAATATAGTAATATTTCCACGGAGTCCTACTACCAAACATTTTGATGGTGTGTATAACGAAAGATAAGGAAGTCAGCGATGAGTGGTCATCACTTTTAAAATTACTGTAACAAGACAGATTAACTAAAAACTCCTTTTATTGGCATGGACTGATTTGCTAAATGTAATAGGTAAGTCAAAAATCATCATTTATTGAGGGAAAAGTGGGTAAATATTTTAACCAAGGGAAGGTGCAAAGTTTTTGCAAGAAGGTAGGATTATTGTGGCAGACATCTGGTGCAGAAGTCATAAGTTATATCACTTCTTTCTATTCTGTAAACCTCTATGGTTTACGGTTCAATCACAATGCCACAATAATGAAAGCAGAAATCAGAAAATTGGTTCTCTTATGACCTTACATAATAGTCATTCTGAATGAACAAAACGGTCTTTTCTGAGTCATGTTTTTCCTTTGGCAGATGCAAACTTTGCATGAAATGTGCAAGAGCTTTGTTATGCATGTTTAATTTATTTAAAATAGTGGTATCAATATTTAACACTCCATATTCTAGAGTTTTGTTTAACATGTTGCTGAATGTTTAAGTACAGCTGTCAAATCTGCCTTCTCTCATGTGAAGAATATTTTTTAACAATTACAATTTTACTTTAAAACTTGAGCTTTTAAAAAAAAACTCTAATCTGTCTACAATTTATTTGTAGTGATTAATGATGAAGAGGTATGCTAAGGAGATTACCTAGTAGTAGGTCTAGACTGGAAATGAATTACAATCTTGTGCCAAAAACTGTAGGTCTTGCATTCCCGGTCTGGTTAAAAGACCTGCATCCTCAGCATTTTTTCCCACTGGAAGATTGAAGGAAGATAATCCTCGTCAGTTGCAGGCTGGTTGGTGGCTAGTCAGGCCCGGCCATGATCCTCTCACACGAAGATCTCATTGTTGCTGAGGGCAGTTAGATCTGTCCTTCGCCTCTGCTTCTCTTTCATGCTGATGCAAAGATTTCTACAACATTCCCGGAGTAACAGGCATTAGTGTGACTTGCACTTCCCACTGGCAATGGTCAATGTTGCACACAGCAAGAGACTTCTTCAAGGAGTCTTTGCTGTCTCCAACCCCACCATCATTCCCTCGGTCAGCTCCCTGTACAACGTAGTCTTGGGCAGTTAACTGCCATCTGTCTAAGCAATGGGGCCCGCTAACACAGTTAGCTTTGCAGGAGGATGACTGCAATATCTGTTTGTGAAACACCTGATACTTTATTTCGTTATTTTTGACTTTTTCCTGAAACTTTCAATGTACAAGAGGTATTTTCCTGGAATGTAACAATGACATGGGTTGCATTTTGCAGTCAGCCAAGGTAAGAAGTTGGAAACACTTTAAGTTGAAATGATACCCTTTGGATTTTGATGAAGAGTCACTGTGCACTAGCAGAGCACCTTAACTAGTATCTGCTTTATCCTGAAAATCCGCACTCTGGAATATTCATTGTGCTGTTGAATTGCACTTTGTCCAACCTGTAGCAGACAGTTATAGATGGCACACTTTTATTTCCATTGTGGATTTTATCTGATCCTGGGAGATATCATCAAGCCTTTGCATAAGTACACCAGGGTAACAGAACAGAATGAGAATATAGTATTACAGCTACAGAGAAGGTGTAGGGAAAGATTAACTTTTGAGACGTCCATTTCAAAGACTCATAGCAGCAGGGAAGAAGATGTTCCTGAATCTGCTGATACATGTTTTCAAACCTTGTATCTTCTGCCCGATGGAAGAGGGTGGAAGAGAGTATAACTGGGGTGGGAGGGGTCTTTGATTATGTTGGCTACTTTCCCAAGGCAGCGCAAAGTATGTATGGAATCAATGGATGGAAGGTTGGTTTGCGTGATGGACTGGATAATGTTCACAACTGTCTGTGATTTCTTGCGATCTTGGGAAAAGCCGTTTCTGTACCACACCGTGATGCATCTGGATATGGAGACATTGAATCACAGAGTTAGGATGCTTTCTATGGTGCATCAATAAAAATTGGTAAGAGTCATTGTGGACATGCCAAATTTCCTTAGCCTTCTGAGGAAGTAGAGACGTTGATATGCTTTCTTGACCATAGTGTCAACATAAATAGAGATTATTAAGACTGTATCTCAATGTAGTAAAGACTGAGGAGATAAAAACCAGAGACAGTAGGAATAAAAACCACTTCTGTGACCAATTGCAAGGGTGCTGAGAGAAATGAGCTTGAATAATTTTATTTGTTAATGTTGTAGGATAAATCTTAAATTCTGTTAACTGCATTTATCCTCAATGTTTTGTAGGTTTCTCTGGCAATTGCGTTGGCTGCGGAGAAAAGGGATTTCGCTATTTCACTGAGTTTTCTAATCACATCAACCTGAAACTGATCACCCAGCCAAAGAAACAAAAGCATTTGAAGTGTTACTTGATTAAAAATGCACAGGGCAGTCTAACTAAAGGACCCTTAATCTGTTGGAAGGGTACAGGTGAGAACTGGATCAAAAATTCTGTTAAGTAAAAAAAAATCAGTCCAGTCAATGATGGATAAATGCTGCAAGCCAAAGAAATCTATCAACCAGGTTTTGTCAAAAACAAATTGGTACAGACCAGAGCCAAAGAAAGCCTGATTTTTGTTGCTTCTGAGGATTTGTGCTGAAAAGTTACCATGATCAAGAATGTTTCAAACTCCGAGCAGAGCAGATTGAGGGGCTCAATGGCCTACTTCTGCTCCTGTGTTTTATGGTTACGTTTCAAAAATTAAGCAACAAATCCTTCAGTTTTAACGTTCAAAAGGATCTTTATAGCCTCCTCCGACCCAGAATCAGGTGAAAATGCTGGGTCCCTGTAATTCAGATTTCTTGCACATTCCCCACTTGATCACTTGTCAATTGGCAACCACACTTTCAACTGTCGAGACTCTAAACTTAAGAATTCCCTTCCAAAATCTTTTCACTTTGCTCTTTTTAAGATGCTCCCTGAAACTGATCTTTTTGACAACTGTGTCAGAGATAGCAAGAACTGCAGATGCTGGAGTCAGAGATAGCAAAGTGTGGAGCTCGAGGAACACAGCAGGCCAGGCAGCATCAGAGGAGCAGGAACGTTCACGTTATGGGTCGGGACCCTTCTTCAGAAATGGGGGAGGGGGAAGGGAGCTGGGAAATAAATAGAGAGAGGAGGGGTGGGGCTGGGGAAGGTAGGTGGGATGGTGATAGGTGAGTGCAGGTGGGGATTGGTCATTGGGATGGGTGGGGTGAATAGGTGGGAGAGAAGATGGCCAGGTAATGTCAGGTGAAGGATGCGGGGATAAGAGGGAGGGTTGGACATGGGATGAGGCTGGGGGTGGGGAGATTTTAAAACTGGTGAATTCCATGTTTAGGCCATCGGGCTGTAGGCTCCCGAGGTTGAATATGAGGTGTTACTCCTCCAGTTTGTGGGTGGTGTCATTGTGACACTAGAGGAGGCCCAGGATGGACACGTCACCCAGGGAGTGGGAGGGGGTTGGTGACCAGAAGATATTGTCATTTGTCACGAACAGAGCGCAGGTGCTCTACAAAGCGGTCTCCAAGTCTACGCTTGGTCTCACCAGTATAGAGAAGGCCACATCGGGAGCAGCGGATACAGTAGACCAAGTTGACGGATGTGCAGGTGAACCCCTGTCTGATATGAAAGGTTTGTTTTGAGCCTTGAGCGGAGGTGAGGGTGTAGGTGTAGGGGCAGGTGTAGCACTTCCTGCGGTTGCAGGGAAAGGTGCCGGGGGTGGTGGGGTTAGTGGGGAGTGTGGAGCCGGCGAGGGAGTCGCGGAGAGAGAAGTCCCTATGGAAGTCAGATAGGGATGGGGAGGGAAATATATCTTTGGTTGTGAGGTCAGATTACAGGTGGTGGAAGTGGCGGAGAATGATACACTGGATGCAGAGGTTCGTGGGGGTGATATGTGAGGACGAGGGGGATTCTGTCTTTGTTTTTGTTGGGGGGAGGGGCTTGATTGCAGAAGTGTGTGAAATGCAAGAGATATGGTTGAGAGCATTTTCGATCACCAGAGGGAGGGAAGGTTTCAGGTCCATCCTGGGCTTCCTCCAGTGAGGCCAAGCGTAGACTCAGACACTGTTTCATAGAACATCTACACTCTGTACGCAACAAACGACAACACCAATCATTTCAACTGCCCCTCCCGCTCCCTGGGCGACATGTCCATCCTGGGCCTCCCCCAGTGTCACAATGACACCACCCGCAAACTGGAGGAGCAGAACCTCATATTCCACCTCAGGATCCTACAGCCCGATGGCCTAAACATGGAATTCACCGGTTTTAAAGTATCCCCACCCCGACCTCATCCCTTGTCCAACCCTCCCTCTCATCCCCGCATCCTTGACCTGACACAACCTCTCCATCTTCTCTCCCACCTATCCGCTCCTCCTACCTTACTAACCAAATCCCCACCACTGCCTACCTGCACTCACCTATCACCATCCCACCTACCTTCCCCAGCCCCACCCCTCCTCTCTCTCTTTATTTCACAGCTCCCATCCCCCTCCCCCATTTCTGAAGAAGGGTCCCGACCCGAAACATCAGCTTTCCTGCTCCTCTGATGCTGCCTGGCCTGCTGTGTTCCTCCAACTCCAAACTGTTGGTTTTGACAAATATGTTCTGATGTCAGCTTTTTTTAAAATTTGTGCCAGTTTTTGTTTCGTTACACTCCCGTGAATCACTTGTAATAATTTCCTACGTCACAGCCATTGCTTAAATGCAAGTTATTTCTGTTGTTGTAGTGGAGGCAGTCACTGAGTGATCTGAAGCCTAGCTTTGTTTGTAAGGTTGAAGAATTCCAACTGACTGCGTTTGTTTTTAACAGAGGGCAGAACCCAGCAGTCACCCTCAAGTTCCACCTCGAGCATTCCCTCACAACCACCTGAGAGTCCCGCCTCATCAACGACAGGAGCATCAGCAGACAGCGTTGCTGGGAATAATCAGAATGCATTAACTGGATTACAGCAAGCAGGTGCTTGAGACTGTGTCTTTTAACTGTGATCAGTGTTCTTTGGGTGGCACCGTGGCCCAGTGGTTAGCACTGCTACCCCACAGTGCCAGGGACCCGGGTACAATCCCAGTCTCGGGTGACTGTCTGTGCGGAGTTTGTATATTTACCCCGTTTCTGCGGGAGGCTGCAGTTTTCTCCCACTGTCCAAGGATGTGTGAGTTAGGTGGATTGGCCATGCTAAGTTACCCATAGTGTTCGGGGAAGTCCATTAGCCATGGGAAAAGCAGGGTGACGGGGATAGGGTAGGGAGATTAGTCTGGGTGGGATACGATTTGGAGGGTCAGTGTGGACTTTGTTGGACCAAGTGACCTGTTTCCACACTGTAAGGATTTGTTTCTGTTCCTCTTTTCAATAAGTCTCCAGTTTTCTACTTTAAACCTTACAACATATGAGCACCAACTAGAGGGGTTAAGCTGGTGAAATAAGACTTTGGCAGCGGCACAGAAGAGACAGTAATAGATCCTTGATGAGCCCTGGGAGAGTTTGTTTCCCATTGAAGCCCGTGCAGAGGAGAATAGCGTGAGGGTTCACCGTGGTGGTGTGTGATGGTCAATCCATTGTTTTCTTCTAAAACTGAATTTTACCCTAAATTTAATATGCTATTTATAGAGTCATAGAGTCATACTGCACGGAAACAGACCCCTTAGTCCAACCAGTTCATGCCAACCATAATCCAAACTAAACTAGTCCCACTTACCTGTGCTTGGTCCATATCCCTCCAGACATTTCTTATTCATGTACTTATCTAAATATCTTTTAAACATTGTAACTGTACCTGCATCCATCACTTCCTCTGGAAGTCCATTCCACGCACGAACTACCCTCTGTGTAAAAAAAATTTGCCCGCCATGTCTTCTTAAAATCTTTCTCCTTTCACCTTAAAAGTACACCCTCTAGTCTTGAAATCCCCCACCCTAGGGAAAAGACACTTGCTATTCACCTTATCTATCCGCCTGAGAGGTCAACTCTCAGCCTCCTGTGCTCCAGTGAAAATTGCCCCAGCCTATCCAGCCTCTCCTTGTAACTCAAACCCTCCATTCTGGGCAACATCCTGGTAAATCTCTTCTGAACCCTCACCAGCTTGAAAATAACTGGGCAACCAGAACTGGACACAGTATTCCAGAAGAAGCCTCACCAATGTCCTATACAACCTCAACGTAGTGTCCCAACTCCTCTACTCAAAGGACAGAGCAATGAAGGCAAGCATGCTAAATGCCTTCTTAACCACCCTGTCTACATTTGATGCAAACTTCAAAGAATTATGTACTTGAACCCCTAAGTCTTAACTAGATCTGTCTGAATAGCAGAAGTGAAACAGTAGGGGTAATTTTCTGTATCTATACTCTCTATGTGGAGACTCCCAGTCATGATTTTAGGCTGACACCCATCTTCCCCATAATTTTCCAAGTCCTGAAACACGTTCTCTGTAGTTAAGGCCATATGCAAATGCATATGACTATCTTTATACCAGTTAAGGACATTAAACCCAATGCTTTTTGTTCATACTTATGTTACTGCAGGTACTACAGTTTGTAAAATATTGTAACTTTTGTGTTTTTTAAAGCTGTGCTTTATGCTTTTGTTTTAGGGATTCGTTAGGGTAAAATGGTAAGGTGGTTTGTCTATGCAAGTGGCTTTGAGTTGACGTGGGAGACATTATTAATAAATTGAAATAGTTAAAGCTAAGTAGAAGCAAAAATAAAGTGACCTGGCTAGACCAGGTACTGCTAATTCCATTGATCTCTTGGGTTGGTGGATTACTTTGGGTGATTTGTTTGTTTGGACATTTTGTTTGACATTTCTGTAATTAATGTCAGCTCTGACTCAATCGATGTCTGTATTCAGTTCAAGTCCCACTGAGAGCCTTGAGCACACCCTTTAGGCTGATATTCCAGTGCAGTGCTGAAGAAATGGTAGAGGTGCCATTTTCTGGATTAGCTGTTAAAACAAACAGTAAACATATGAATTAGGAGGAGGGATAGGTCACTTGGCCCAGGAGTCTGCTCCATCATTCAACAAGATCAAGACTGATCTGCTCACTCCACATTCCTGTCTTCTCCCCATAACAGTTTCACCCATTGATGGTCAAAAATCTATCCATTTCTGCTTTGAAGAATTCAAACTTCTACTGCTTTTAGAGGAAGAGAATTCCAATGACTCACCACCCTCTGAGAGGAAAAAAATCTTCTCATCTCTGTCTTAAATGGGTGACCCCTGAATTTTAAACAGTGACCCTTAATTCTTAATAAAAACCGAAAGAACTGCGGATGCTGTGAATCAGGAACAACAACAAAATTGCTGGAAAAGCTCAGCAGGTCTGGCAGCATCTGTGAACGTAAAAATAGAGTTAACGTTTCGGGGGCGGTGACCCTTCCTCGGTTCTGAAATGTTATGAACCCGAAACGTTAACTCTGTTTTTACCTTCACAGATGCTGCCAGACCTGCTGAGCCTTTCCAGCAACTTTGTTTTTGACCCTTAATTCTTGATTTTCCCACCAAAGGAAACATCCTTTCCACATCTGAGCTGTCAACATCCTTCAGGATCTTATGTTACGATCAAGTCACCTTTTACCCTTCCAAACTCCAGTCGATACAAGCCCAGCCTACCCAACCTTACCTCAAGACAACCCACCCATTCCAGATACAAGTCCAGCAAACCTTTGTTGAACTACTTCCAATATATTTACATTCTTCCTTAAATAAGGAGACGAATACTATACATGGTACTCCAGATGCTGTATAACTGAAGCATAATCACCCTATTTGTATAGTCAATTGCCCATGCAATTAATGAGATCATCACATTTGCTTTCTTAATTATTTGCTGTACCTGCAAGTCATGCTTGAGGATACCCAATCCCTCTCCATTGCTGAACTGTCCCATCTCTCACCACGTAGTCTGTTCCCTGCTATGATGTCATTAATGGGGACTTCTAATATCTTCTCCATGACTGATATTATACTAATTGTTAATATCTTTAACTATTTTAGTTGAGCACTGATAATGTGTCCTCGCCTTTGAATTTTCCTTTCTCATTGGAATGTATCTATTCTGTATATTCTGAAATATCCCTCAAATATCTGCCACTGCCATCTGCATTCACCTATCCCTAAACCTAATTTACCAGTACACTTTAGCTAGTTCTGCTCTCATGCCCTTGGAATTGCTCTTATGTTTAAAACACTGGTCTCACTCCCTTCCCTCAAAATGTAACATGCAATTGTATTATGGCCCCTGCTACCTCAGGGCACTCTCACTATGAGGTTGTAAATTAATTCTGTTTCATTCCACAACACCAGGTCTAAATGAGCTTGTTCCCTGATACTCCAGTTCCAGAATGTACCAATATAAGAAAATATCTCATCTGTACCCAAACTGGATCTACATCCCGATTACTGTACTTAGTTGATCCTTCTCTATTGTGCTAAACCATGATTAATCAAGAAAGCCTCATCACCACCTTTCCTAGTTTCTTGTCTTTCCTAATGTGTTCATCCTACAGTAATGTCTCTGTAATAGCCACCAAATACTTATTTGTATTTGTGCTGTCCATTAATCTGTTTTGTTCCAAATGCTATGTTTATTCAGTTACAGAGTTTTTAGTTTTGTCCTTTTATTCTAGACTTATCTGTTGATTTATTCTTATATTTGAGTTCTCTATTCCTTCCTGTCATGGTCTGTTTGGCATTTTTCGTATTGATATCATTACATCTTGCCTTATCTATACCTTGGGATTTACCACATCTTTCAAATTGATCCTTTGCCCCCCCCACCGGAATTACATTGAAACCTTCTCAATTTCCCTCATTGTACAACTTGTTAGAACACTAGCTTCAGCACTGTTAATCCAGACGAACAAAATAGGAACAGAAGTTGACCATTCGGCCCCTTGAGCCTACTCCACCATTTAATAAGATCCTGGCTGATCAAGATCAGTTTCGAATTACACAATCCCATCTCCCTCTCATAACCTTTGATTCCTTTACCAAGTAAGAATCTACCCAGATCTGTCCTTAAAATATTTAATGACCTCCGTTGCCTTCTGAGGCAGAGTTCCAAAGTTCCAGCACCCTGGAAGAAAAAATTCTCGTCTTTTTCGTGAAAGTGCAACCCCTTATTTTCCCAAACTAGTGTTTGAATCATAGATTCATTTCTCTAATTTTAATTACCATATACTTGTGGCTTAGATGATAATCCAGAGATTATTAACCTTTGAGGTTCAGCTTTTAAGCTCCTCTGTGCTTACGCAGAGCTCATTTCCTTGATCTGCCTATGTTGCTCATCCCTACATGGACCAAAATGACTAGATCCCCTCTCCCACTCTCTGCAATTTTCTTTCTGTCCCTGAACAGATGTCCCAAGGTTGTGTCTGCACTGTCAGGTGAACATACAAGACCCTATGGCACCACTTTGAAGAGCAGGGGAGTCCTGGTCAACAGGTGTCCTTCGATCAACATCGCTCCAAGAAAAATCTAATCTTTCTTTCAGCGCTGCTGAGTGGGAGGATACTGTGCAGAAATTGGCTGACATTCAGTCATACAGTGGCAGTATTATAAGAGCACTTTACTGTCTTGTGTTGGAATATCTTTTGATTAGGAGATGCTGTGTATAAATGTGAATATTTCTTCATTATTAATGTTTTGATCACATTAAGGTGGTTTTAATTTGATATTACCATGCAGTCTGCTTTGCTGTTAGGACTCACGTTTAGGAAGATTTTGGTCACATTTTCCATATTGAAATTGTTCGTGTTAAATGCATTGTTAGAAAGAGCTGCTTTGGTAAATCTGCTTTCACAGAATTCAAAAAATGGTAGCAGGATAATGGCGAGTTTGTATGTATCTAGGCAGCAGTTTTAGAAGATGAATGCATTTTATTGGAGTTGGTGGGAAGGGGAAGGTTCATGTTCTTGGCCTATATTTCCCAAAGGAAAGAGAAAGGGACAACCTCCCCGCTCCTAATGATACTCTTCACAGAATGGAAAGGAGAGGCTACATATGTTGGCACTTCTTCTATGTTTGACTGGGAACTTGTTTCTCACCGAAATTTATCGAAAATTAACGCTTTACTCTTGCACTTCAAGTTTATTAATTCAGGAAAATATAACAATGTTATTAAGAATGTGAATACCTCCATATATTCCTGTCGTTCCTCTTTATTTAACAGCATGGTCCTTGACCAGAGTTGGTTGTCATTGCAGGTGCTCCAACAGATCAGGCTGTTTCTCGAGCTGTTATAGGGGCTTCTGCAAGTCAAAACAACAGAGATTCAGTCAGGCATCAGAACGCAATGAAGACCAACAACGTATCCTGTCAGAATATGGCGAGACCCTCAGTGATAGGTACAGTAATTGCAAGCCTAAATGCCTTCTCATAGTGTCAGCTGTGATTCATTTGGTGTTAGAAATATGTCCATCAAATGATATATGTGATGATGCTGTGGCTTTAAGAGGGTTTTTTTTCAAAGAGCGTTTTAAGGTAGAGGTGAGGAGCTGTATACTGGGCAAGCCAGTGTAGTAAACAGCTTGTGAGGCCTTGGGGATTTTTTTAAAAGTTGGAACAATAGAAGCAGCCTGGATGGGTGTGACCAACTCGCACAGACTGGGACTTTAGTTTTTTTTCTGGTTTTTAGGTTTAGCTTTAAGCAGTTGCTGTTATGGGCTTGAAGAAGGGGACGTTATTTTTCCTTCTCTTGATTACGGCCAAGAGCTGGGGATTCTCTTCCTAGGCTGCCAGATTGCATGTGGGACAAAATCTGTTTTTCCGAGTTTGCCTTTTTGCCAAAGGGTGCATTTATAGGATTTTAATATATTGGAACAGTTAATTAATAATAATGTTAAGTCTTCCAATAGATTTAAGTTATTCGAAGTTCCTCTTTCTATGGTTGTATTTTAACTAGACTGTTTAAATAAATTGTGTTTTGCTTAACATTGAGCAGTTTGACCAGTCATATTGCATCTGGAACTCCACACTTTACATTTGCCTTAAAAATAAGAAGAGGTTAGCTTGGGATCTGGTCTGTTCCATAAGAGATATTAAATCAGGACCATGTATGTTTTCTCAGGTGAATGTAAACAATCCCATAATAGTATTTCAAAAAGAAAATTTCAGGAAATACCCCTGCGTGCAGGCCAATTTTTTTTTATCTCTCAATGAGCACGACTTTGAAAACGTGCAGTCTTTTTTAAAAAAACTAACATCATTTTTGTAAGTAAATGTAACCTTTGGTTTAAGGACTAGCATGTGTTTAGTACAGCAGTTCTTTAAAGGTTACCTAGCGACCACCTAGCCATTTGTTGACCAGCTCCCTAATGTGGTATTTGTGCATTTATGCAGTGATTACTGAGTACTAAACGATGAAGGATTGGGGGTGGGGGTGAGGCATCAAACTGCTAGAAAACTGGGGTTCTTACTGGATGACTACCTGTCTGGTTTCTCTGGATATTGACACTGTTGTTTATAACAGGACACAGTTATAAAACTGGAGTTCGGGCCTTTAGGAGTGAAATCAGGAAGCACCTTTTTACGCAAAGGTTAGGAGCAAACCTGGAACTCATTACCTGAAAAAAAAAGTGGATGCTGGGTTAATTGAAAATATGAAAACTGAAATTGATAGATTTTCATTAGGAAGCTGTATGAAAGGATATGAAACAACAGCAGGTCAATGTATTGCGGTACAGAGCAATCATGTTGTAGTTAAATTGCAGAATAAGCTTGAGAGACTGACTGACTTACTCCTGTTTCTCTGAGGTTACGAGTAGAATTCCTGTATTTACACCATTTTCAAAGCTTTGCAAATAGCTCAGTACACAATGGGATGAATCTTAAATTCATACTTCGAATTAACTGGATTTAATTTAAAAGGTATTCATTTTGATTGTTGGTAACAAATTAAATAAAAATCTTTCAAGTGTGCACAAATGGAAGCATGAAATTCTCGCCTGTATACGTGCATGCTGTTGTCATGATAACTGATATTTTTTATACTGTTGGACAGGCAATTTAGCTAATTCAGGGCCTCCAAAGAAACGGCATAGGGGCTGGTCACCAGACTCCTCCTCAGCAATAGAAACACTCTCCATTCACAGCAATCCAACAGCTCAAAATTCAGGAAGCAAAACTGGTAAGCTCCATCACCGACATTCTTGCTATCCAGTCTATGTTTGTCCTATTTCTAGTTTTGTATTATACAATAGGCTACTCATTTCTTAGTGATGGTACAACTATCTGATACACATGAAATGTTTTTGCAGTGTTTTGTATAACTGAATATTTCTGCTGAGGTACTTGGGTTCAGTTAGTGGGGTGGAAATTGAGCATTTGGATAACGCGTTCCATTTTATGATATGAATTATGTTTCGTTCTCTCTTTCTCTAAATGCTTCTGGTCTTTTCAACCATTGTCTTTATAACTAGTTGTTTATGTAATTTTAACATTATTAAGCTGGCAAATTTCATGATTTGTTTAAATGTACGAGTATTTCTTAAATTATGCCTTGCATAGCTGACCTCAAGTTTAATGCATCCCATAAGAGTTTGCTTTTTAAGTGGTTCCATCAACGTATAATTCATCACCATCTCAAACACAATGGTATTGTCCCACCAAGGACACTTACCAGTCAACATTCACATTTCAGGGAACATACACGATGTAGATATCAAGTAACATTGAAGGAAAAGAACAGTGTCTAATTCGAGAAACTATTTATCATTATTTGAATTTTTTGCACGCATTATTTTGCACTGTCATCAGAAATACACCTGATGCACCTAACAGCAGAGAACATCAATGTCTTTCCTGGAAACATCTTTTCCATTGTTAGTGAGGCAGAAGTGTTGGCATTAATTCCCTCTCTAAGGGCATTGTGGGTCTATCTATAGCACAAGGACTGCAACATTCAAGAAGGCAACTCACCACCACCTTCTCAAGGGCAACGAAGAACAGGCGATAAATATTGGCCAGTCAGTGATGCTCACATCCCATGAATGAATAACAAAAACCTAGTCCAACAAAAAAATCTTTGAAGATACTAGATTATAGTTTCAGTTTTTGGAAATTTATGGTAATTTAAAACAGAAATAGTTTGCAATGTGAACAATTGAATTTGCAGTTTCTCTTTGATTGTATGTTTGTTTTGTGGTAATTTGTAACTGAGCCTAGAATTTCAAACCCTTGTAACAAATAAAATATGCGAAGGAGTAACACTCTATTTTATGTGTTTATGTTACTCATTTTTAGCGTCATTTCCCTGTTTATGTAATGGAAAGGATCAAAATGGAAATAATCTTAGGTTTGAAAAGCGCTATCAGAGGATATTTGGAGAATTTCTGCAGTACATCTTGTAGATAGCACACATTTTTGCTGCTACTGATGCTTATGGATGGAGTGCCAATCATCAGGCTGCTTTGTTGTAGATGGTGTCATGCTTCTTGAGCATTGTTGGAGCTACAGGGAAATGGGGAATGTTCCATTTCTTTCCTTTAAAGTCTTCAGGGCTCAATATTGAGACATTCAGCGACTTCAGAAACTGGACTTTGTTCTCCATTTTGATTATAACACCCCATCCAGTATCTTGTTTGTGTCTTGTTCTCAGCAGAGCAGACCATTTTCTGCTTTTCACACCTGCCATTTGCACCTATATTACATCTATATCTCTCCTTTACAACCATTAGCACTATCTTTGTCTTTTGCTGTGGGCATCCTTGCCATTTGTTCCCCTCACTCCTAACCCACCCCTTCCCCCCACTCAATCATCAGTATGACTAAACACCATTGTTTTGCACTTCCATTCAGTTCTGAAGAAGAGTCTTATCAGATTCAAAACATTAACTCTGTTTCTCTCTCCATAGATGCTGCCAAACTTGCTGAATTTCTTTAGTATTTCCTGTTTTTATTTCATATTTCCAGCATCCACAGTTTTTGCTTTTATTTGAGCAATTAATGAGTTGCAAGTGGCTGGAAATGAGGAATTACTGATCGTTATTGAAGTGGAAAGTTGGGAAAACTTATTCCCTATGTCAAGGATCTGATTTCTTTGATTCCCACTGTATTTTCCCAACTTCCTCCATTGTTAGTGGAAGCAAAGTTAAAAGTCTGTCAACAATATTATGAAGTAAGGCAATTTAGAGAAGGGCATCCATTAATCAGAAGAAGTGTGTTTTGTAATTCTTTTATGATTTTTATGATTTCACAAAGTTATGTCCAAAAAATTGTTTTCATTCCAATGACTTTTCCAGATATACAGATTGGCTCAGGGACTTACAAGGCCAATGTCTATTGGAAGTAAAATAAGAAGTCACCTGACTTCTCAACTCCGTTTGGTTTTAAATTGTCCATTTACAATGGTCTGGAGAAGGTGGTAGAAGGTTTTCCCTGTAAACAGTTACAATACCTTGAAGTAATGATGGTGCTCCTATCTTTGTGTGACTTTACCACTGCCAATGTATTTACAACTCCCACTTTGTATCACTCTCCATACATGTTTCCCTCTGTCTACAGCTTTCAGAATATAGGTTAAGACAACTTCTAGCTTTATTGAATCTGATAATAAATATGAAGACCGTTGCTTTTCTTGATGTATATTAGTAACTTGGACCAGGGTGTACAGGACACAATTGTGGAGTTGGCACAAAATTTGGAAGCATAATGAACTTGATAAAGATAGTGATAGACCTCTGGGAAGACAGCAAAGCTAATGTTGCTGGACCTGTAGCAGGTGAAATCTAATACAAAGAAATGAGAAATGATGCATTTTTGAAAGAATGAAGAAAGGCAAAATAACATGAAGTATACAATGCGACAGTTGAAGTGGGAGCAGAGTAACATGGGGTATATATACACAAATCATTGAAGATAGAGGGGCAGATTAAAAAAACACGAGAACTTGGTTTTATAAGTAACAGTATAAGAAGTTACGATGAACAGAAACAACCTGCAGTTACATAATACCTTTAGCATGATGTTATATCCCTAAATGTTTCAAAGGAGCTTTGTGAAACAAGATCTGACACTAAGCCTCATAAGGCAATATTAGAAACGACAATTGAAATCTTGGCCAAAGAGGTTAGTATTAAGACTAATGCAGGAAAGCATGTTAGAGAGACCAAGAGTTTTAGGGAGAGAATTCCAGAGCTTAGCTCCGAGGCAACTGAAGGTGTGTGATCAATGGTGCAGCCGTTAAAATCAGGAATGTTCATGAGGCTAGAAGTAATTGAGAACAGATAACTTGACATGATTATGAGGCTAGAGAAGATCACAGATGAGGGGCTGGAGGTAAGATCATGGATGGATTTGAAAATGGAAATCAGAATATTAAAATTAAAGGCACTGCTTAACCAGGAGCTAGTATAGGTCAGGAAGCACAGGGCTAAAAGGTGAACAGAACTTAGTGTGAATTAACAGACACATGCAGAAGAATTTTGGATAGCCTTAGATAGATTGTGGGAGACCCACCAGGATGACAATGAGTTAGTCAAATCCAGAAGTACCAACGTTAGGGGATTAGGTGCACTAATACGAGTGTGGTTGGATGATGGAAATAGGATACAAATATGTTACTGGAAGCTTTTCTCCGGGTCAAATATGACACCAACGTTGTAAACATACTGGTTTTATCTCAGACTGTTGCCAGGGAGAGGGATGGAGTCAATAGCTTGAGAACAGAACCTTATTAATCCACTTGAGTAATATGTCCAATTCTGGCCTCTGTAATTTAAGAGGGACTTGAAGGCTTTCGAGAGGGTACCAAATGAGAAAGATTTCAGGTTGAGGAACTTCAGTCACATGGGTAGTTTGGAAAAGCTGAGGTTGCTCTTCTTATCGAAGAGAAAGTTGAGAGCGAACTTTGTAAAAATGTTCAAAAACTTAAAAGTGTATAGACAAAGTAGATGGAGAGCCAGCAACAGCCAAATAGATTGACTGTCCTTCTGTGATGTAATGCCTGTGATTCTACAACATTTCACTGAATTGGTTACAAATAGGAAAAAATAATCGTTGTGTGAATAGGTCCTTTTGCTGTCAAACCCCCAAATACACTCTTGCATTTTCAAGATGTATCTTTGATTGACCAAAGAACATGCTTTGTCCTACTTAGAGACTGGATCTAAGCCAAAATTTTCTTAAAACATCTGAGATCATAGTTTGCCGTTTCTGACACAGCACTGTTAAAATAGACGAGCTCCTGTTTCACTTGAGATCCTATAGTTTTGCTGCTAAAATTCTATGATATACATCATTCCCACTCCCCAAGACTGCATGTGAGCAATGGCATTGTAGATCAGTTTCCAATTTCTATACATGACACAGGGACAATTCCTGAAGTATATTCAGTTGCTATTGTGTTACTTCATGTAGGTAAATAGCAGTCCTGACTCAATGCAGTAAAGGTTCACAATGCATATTGAACTAATCATTGTGCAATAATAGCTCTTGAAATTCATTGTGTCCTTTTGCTAGTTGCAGACATTGCGGAATTAGCTTGTATGACTCAATCCAGCCTTTTAGGACCAATTTCTTCTCCACTTACTACCTCAGAAGAACCTGTCGTTGTACCTGACAATTTACTTAAAATCTGCAGGACCAGACCTGTAATTTTTAAAGGTAACGATCCTAGGTCAGTCATTTACCATTGGGTTTATACTTTGGGTTGGATTTGAGGGTAGGGTGGGGATAACTGGGGAAAGGGAACATTCGTTCAGATTGTGTCACCTGGGAGTATAGTTTGGAGGTGCCAAAAACCTCTGAAGGGCGTCAGGAGAGTTCAAAGAAAAGGACCGTTTTCTAGAAAGATTATGGTGACCTTTTCCAGCCAGTTGGCTTCTCCCCCCAAGACTTTCATCAAACAGTCCTCTCCTGACCTTCACATCAATGTTATGTTGCTCTGCCGATAACATCAGCGGGATGCAACTTTTGTAAGTTAAGTGGACACCTAGAATCCCTACAGTGCAGAAGCAGGCCCTTCAGCCCATCATGTCCAGCCAACCCTCCAAAGACCACCCCACCCAGACCTGTGTCTTTACCCTATCCCTCTAACCATGCATTTCTCATGGGAAATCCACCCAACCTCCACATCCCTGGACACAGTGGGCAATTTAGCATGGCCAATCCATGATACGTGCGCATCTTTGGACTGTGGGAAGAAACAGAGCGTCCAGAGGAAACCCACACAGAAATGGGGAGAATGTGCAAACACCACACAGTCACCCAAGGCTGGAATCAAACCCAGGCCTCTGGCACCGTGAGGCAGCAGTGCTAACCACTGAGCCACCCATCCTCGACTGCTTTTGATGGGAGCCCTGTCATTGCCTGTATTACAGCAGTTAGCGTTGCTGTCACTGAGAATGCGGTCAGCTATTATTGGGGTTTTCATTTCCAAGATTGTAATTTGCCCTTTCCTGTGTATAAGTTGGGGAGGAGTGGCTAAAATTAAGGTCACAATAAAGGAAATCTATAATTCACTCAATGCTTGTCTACCAAGTCAACAGCAGAATTGTTAATTCACTTAACGTACTGGAACTGGGACTTCGCAAACAATAAAAGAAAGAAATTTTAATTGCAAATATCGCGAAATGTGAAAAATGCCCAGAATGGAATCAATGTGAGATAATTAATTGTGAAAAGTGAGGATAAATGCAACAATTTCATTTTTTAGGCCATGGAAACCTTCCTTACCTCTGTGGTAATTTGAATGATATAGTAGTCAGTCCAATGCTGCAGAACTGCTACCGAAACACTCAAACTTTCCCTCGAGCGTATGAACAACATAGTACATCTGTAACTACAGTGTTGTCCGTAGAGATGCAAATCTTACTGACAGTTTACTACCTAGCTCAACTTGGTAAGTGTTGATTGGTTGTCTTCTGATTCATAAACTATAAATTACATTTCTGCAGTCTGCAAATGTTACGTATAATTGAATTTCATTATTTTAGCAATGCTCTTTTTTTATGCTCCGGATTCTGTTCCTAAACCTCTTGGCCTGTCCATCTCTCTGTCTCTTCCTCCTTCAACCTGCATCTTAAAAACCCTCTTCTTTGAGCAATCAGTCATCTGTACAAACATTACTGTAAGTGACTCAGCATTGAACTCTTTGATAACACTGCTATAAATTACCATAGGTTTTTTTTCTAATATAAAAGATGGCATGTACATGCAAATTGTTGCTGTTGGAAAAAAAAAATCAGGAATCCCTATTTTTCTTATTTATATTTTAGTCAAGTTTCATTAATTTTAGAAATGACCACATCCCTCATATCCCTTTCCCCACAAACAAATTCTTGAAATTAACAATAATGCATATGTACATCATGCATTTAATATGATTCATTTTCTCAAGAGGCTTCACGGATGTGATAATATTTGGTGACTATTTGAACATAGCCAGCAGGGTTTTGGATGACTTCAAGTTTACAAAGTGTAGAAGGCAGTGAGTTCCAGACGTGCACCATGCTCTGGGTGAAAAGTTGCCTTCTCAGGTTTCTAGAATACTTCCATTGATTATTTTGTATCCACGTTCCCTCATTTATTGGTCTCTTTGTTTACGGGAATATGTCTTTCCTATTCATTCTAGGTCCTTTCTTTAAATTTTATAAGGCTCCTTTAAATCTCTCCTTTGCCTTCTCTGTCCAAATGTAACAAATTCTGCCTCTCAAATCTTTTTGCGTTATCAGTATTTTCCATTTGTAGCAATATCCTTGTGAATCGCTCTAGTGTTCTTCCTGTGGTGTGGTGGCCATAACTTTAGGCAGTAATCTAACTGTATAAAATACTAAACTGCAGCTATAGCATGACTTCTTTGTTCTTAAACTCTAGGCCTCAGCTATTACACGCGAATACTTGGTGGCTTTTATCTACTGTCCTGCTACCTTCAACAATCTGTAGACATAGTCTCCAAGGCTCTCTCTTCTTCCTTCACAGAAGGAAGCCATCTGAGTACAGGAGTAGCAAATTCTTGCTTAAATTGTATGGGAGCTTGGTTAGACAGCACCTGGAGTGCAGTGTGCACTTTTGGTCTCCTTATCTCAGGAAAGATATTATTACCATAGACGGAGTGCAATGATGGTTCACCGGATTTGTTCTTGGGATGGTGGAATTGTCCTGTGAAGAGAGTTAGGACAAACGCAGCCAGAATTCTCTCGAGTTTCGAAGAATGAGAGATGATCTCATTGAAACTTACAAAATACTTGAAGATATAGGATAGATGCAGTTAAGATGTTTCCCTGATTGAGGAGTTCCGAACCAGGGAATACAACTTAAAAATATGGGGATGCCATTTAGGACTGAGATTAGGAGAAATTTCTTTACTCAGTGGGCGGTGAATCTGTTGGAATTCTCTGCACTAGAGGGTTGTGGAAGCTCAGTCTTTGAAGATATTTAAAGTAGAGGTTGATCATTTTTTGATCATCAGTGTTGTTAAAAACTATGGAGATATCGTCAGTAAAGGGCATTTAGGTCAACCGAATAGTCTACTCCTGTTTCTATTCATCCCATTGAGTCCATGTTGGTTTACTGTAGAGTAAAGCAGTCTGTTCACTTCCAGTGCTGTGTCCCTGTAGTTCTGCAAGTGCCCATTAAATTCCCCTCTGAAATCATTTATGGCCTCCACTTTCACCACTTTCAGAAGCGTTGAATTCCAGGATTTCACCATTCACTACATGAGAAAAGTTCTTTCTCACATTCCACTGTATCCTTTGGCCAGAATCTTAAATCCGAGTAAAATCTGACATTAAAATAATCAGAAAGCACTTGAGATACTCAGATCTGGCAGCATCTGTGGAGAGAGCAACAGAGTTACTGCTTTGCTGACAAATTGAAGGAGAAATGGTTCAATGAGAGAAGAAGTTCAGCCAGGCTAAAGAAGGTGCTGGTAGATGGAGACTGATTGTCCCTCTGTTCAATGAGAAACAAAACCCCTCAGCCTGTTCTGATAGGTGATGGAATTGTACAGAGATTGGATGAAGAGGAGGCACTGAGCAGAATATTAACCTTGTGTCCCTCCACAGATGCTACCTGATAACCTGCATAGTTCCTGCACTTTGTTTTTAATTACTTTGGGCTCTCTAAACTGGCACTGACTCTATTCTTGCATGAGCCAGATTTCTCAGAATCCATTTACTGTGTGTTCCTTGTCTTTTCATCCTGTCCCAAATGCAATATACATCTGGATTGCCACCTCTCTGTCTAACTGACATGTGTATTGGTATCTTCCTACAGTCTGCATCCTTCTTCCTGACTGTCAACCACATGACCACTATTCAACTTCTCTGCAAACTTTTTTCTTTCATACTCCATACATTTGCCTAAATCATCAAAAACACCTCAGGATATCCCAAAGTGCTTTGAAGCCAGTTATGTACCTTTGAAATGTAGTCACTGTTGTAATGCATGAAAGAAGGAAGCCTAAATTTTACAAACAGCAATATGGCAATGATCAGATGGTCTGTTTTCATTGGAAAAAGCTTTAGACAGGACACTGGAAAGACTTTGCTTTTATTTTTCAAAATAATGTTACTGCCCAGAGAGAACACAGGTGGGTTCTTGCTTTAACATGTTAAATAGCTCCTCTGCCAGTACAGCCCTCCCTCAATATATTTTTTTTTATTCATTCACGGGATGGGGACATCACTGGTTAGGCAGCATCTATTGCCCAGGGGGCAGTTAAGAGTTGACCACATTGCTTTGGGTCTGGAGTCACATATGGGCCATACTGGGTAAGGATGGCAGTTTCCATCCCTAAAGGATATTAGTGAACCAGATGAATTTTTTCAACAATCCATTCATGGTCATCATTAGATTCTTAATTCCAGATATTTTATTAAATTCAAATTCCAATTCCACCATCTGCTGTGGTGGGATTTGAATGTGGGTCCACAGAATGTTATGTGGTTCTACTGGATTAGCAGTCCAGCGATAATACCACTAGGCCACCACCTCCCCATTAATAGAGCATCAGCTTAGATTTTGTTCTTATGTCGCTGATGTAGTATTTGAACACCATGTGACTCATACGAATGTCTGTTATTTGCAAGCTATTGACTTGTGAGGCATTACTCCCATCTTTGTTTTTTGCTTGGTAGCAAAACATATCAAAGAATAAACTTTTAAAATTGAAGCCCAGAAAAATTGGAATTCCGTCAAATTGTACTTGCAAACTTCTACAGCTGATTTTATGTTCTGTGCCATGGTGGTTCTGTACACTGGAAATTTCAAATATGGGTTCTCATTATCTTACTGACTTAACTTCAGTTCCTAGAGGACTTCTCCTATTATGTTGTTGACTTGTTGGGCACACAGTATTTTTGACAAGTGGAAAATTATTTCTTAAGCCAAAAGGTGAGTCATGAAATCCAAGTGTTTGTTATCTATATACTGGTTTATTGGTATCAAATCATTTATTGTAAACCAGTTTTGCCTTGTGTAACTTCAAATTACTTGTTTTTTCACCCATTATTGTTGGGAATGGGAATATCACTGAACTAATAATCCAGCATCATGTTTTTGGAGCACAAATCACACCTTGGCCAGCGGTGCAATTTAAATTGCAATTAATATCAAATTAACTTGTTAAAAAAAATCACAAATTGAAAGCTAGCTCCAATAGTAGGAACCATAAAGCTTTCAACTATTGCCATAGAAACCCATATGAATTCACTTATTCCCATTTGGAAAGGCAATCTGCCTCGCCCTCTTGTGGCACCGAGGTAGAATCCCTTCCTCTGACCCAGGAGGCCTATATTCAAATCCCACTTGCTCCAGAAGGTATGCAATAACATCTCTGAACAGGTTGATTAGGGAAAAATAAGTTAAAGAAAGGAAATCTGTCCTACTTACTTGGTTTGGCCTATGCCTGACTCCAGCCTCACAGCAATGTGGTTGATCCCTATCTGGCCTGCAAAGGAAATTTGAGAATGGGCAACAAATGTTGGCATTCCCAGTGATGCCCACATCCCCTGAAGGAATCTTGTTTTTAAATTGTGTTGTGAAGAGTGTTGTGCATTAGCTCTTTATGCTAATGGAAACCTTATTTATTTGTTCTCTTGAATCGTAGCCCCAGATCAGGTTCCTTTGATTGAGGACTTGGAACACATATTGGTGAGAGCCTGGCAGGAATCTAATCTTACTGAAACCAAACAATACCAACAAGCCGTTTCTCACTCAGTGCCATATGTGTCATCATCAACGTTGGCTGTCACGGCAAAGCAACTCACTTGGTTGGCTAAGTTAGCAGCTAGCTCCTGCAAGAACGTTGTCAGGATCCTGGATTCAACAAATTCATTGGCGGAAGGCCTCACAGAAACATTTAAGCTCCTCAGTGAGGGAAAATTGCTGGGGAAGAATTTTGTGGTGATTATTTGCATCACCAAGAACCAAAGCACTGAGTCATGTGTGGTGGTAACAGGTCAGTATTTGAAATGCACGAGCGCTGCTCATTTATAAACAGAACAACTTGCCTGCAAACTTTGATCTTTCATTGACAATACATACAGTATGTGAATGAATTATTGCCTCTCAAACCTATGTCCGACTTGAATTCTGCACTCCTTCACTCATACTTCCTGCACACCACAGCACTCAAACAGCCCTGAAAGCCACAGATGACATCCTGTGTGATTGTAGCCATGGTAAACTGTCCTTTCTAAACCTTTTAGACTGCTTTTGCATGCAGTGATATCGTTAACCATGCCATTCTCCTTCAATTCCTCTCCTTGTGTGTCCGGTCTGATAAGATTTCTCTTGTCTGGCTCCATTCGTAACCATCAGTCATTGCCTGAGCATCATCTCAATGGCTTCTCTTAACCGTAGCCTCATGGCGCTACTTTTCCTGAACGACCTTTCCTTGTAAGTCTTTATGTGGCTTTATGTCAGTTTTTGATTGCTACTGCTTTTGTGAACATGTACAGTTTAAATGTGCTATCGAAGTGCAGGATACTGTTGTTTTAAAGCTGTCTCAGCGTTATAGATTGTCAAAATTAGCATTTCAAGACAGTTGCACATTCTTTTAAGCATTGAAGTCAGAATGCCCTTTAACCCAGGAATGAGTCCAATGAATTTTCTCCGAACTGTTCCTGATGCCATGATATGTTTTTTTCAAATAAGGAGATCAAAATTGTATACAGTATTCCAGATGTGATCTTGGTAAGGCCCTGTTGTGGTAAAATTTACAGATATCTTGGAGTCATCACTAAATCTAGCTACAATTCATTCCATCCCCACATCAAAGTTATAGGCTGTAAATATTTGGGGGCTAGCCCTTTGGAACTCCAACTAGTTATAGCTTGCCAAGCTATAAAAGGACCAATGTATCCTTACTTGGTGTTTGCTGTTAGTTAACCAGTCCTTTATCCATGGTAATATGTTGATCCATACACCAGATGCTCATATTTTATCTAATGACCTTTGATGTAGCACCTTATCAAATGCCTTTTATGAATTCAGGTACAATGCAGCTACAGGTTCTTATTTATCCACCTTACTTGTTACTTCTCAAAATACTTTAGTAAATCAGTCACACTTTTGCTTTCACAGCACCATGTGGACTCTGCCTGATCAGGTTGTGATTTTTTAAACATCCTGCTATGCCCTGTTTCATAATGAATTCTAACAATTACCTGATGATGGATGTTGGGCTTGTTGACCTTTAGTTTCCTGCTTTGTGTCTGCATTCTTTCCTGAATAATAATACTACATTTGCTATTTTTATTATCCACTGGATCCCTTCCAAAATCCAAGCAATTTTCCACAGATTATAACTAATGTTGCTACTAACTCTGCAGCAATCTGTTTTCAGACCGTTAAGGATGTATGCCATCTGGTTCTAGGTATCTGTCAGGTGAAATGTAATAGTTTTCACAGCACCTTTTCCCTGATGATAATTATTGCTTTAAGTCCCTCCTTCCATTTCATCTCCTGATTTTTAAATTGTTTTTGCGAAGTTTTCTATGTTTGTCGAAGATGGACTCAAAATAAATGCCATTGCCTGCTTTGGGGGAGGGGTGATGGCCTAGTACTATTGCTGGACTGTTAATCCAGAGACTCAGGTAATGGGTTCGAATCCCACCATGGCAGATGGTGGAACTTGAATTAAATAAAATCTGAATTAAGAGTCTAATGATGACCATGAATCCATTGTCGATTGTTGGAAACCCATCTGGTTCACTAATGTCCTTTAGGTAAGGAAACTGCCATCCTTACCTGGTCTGGTCTACATGTGACTCCAGACCCACAGCAATGTGGTCGACTCTTAATTGCTGTCTGGGCAATTAGGGGTGAGCAATAACTATTAGCCAGGGATCCAGGTTCGATTCCAGCCGCAGGTGACTGTCTGTGTGGAGTTTGCATGTTCTCCCTGTGTCTGCATGAGTTTCCTCCAGGTGCTCCCTCTGCCCACGTGTCTATTTTTTCGATATGTATATATATGTATATCCTTGGATATTCAGCTCCCAATCCTGATCTCCCTGCAGCCATGTCTCTGTGATGCCCACCACGTTATATCTGCCAATTTCGATCTGCGCCACAAGTTCATTGACCTTATTGCTTCTACTGCGTGCATTCAGATATAACACCTTCAGTCCTGTATTAACTGTCCCTCCTCTTATTGTCGCTCATTTATCCAATGTGCTTGAAGTTTGATGCCGAATCCTTTCCAAACACTGTGCCTATTTGTGTCTGTGCTGGAGACTTTAATAACCTCTCCTGCGTTTTCCTTTCCCATCATTTGTTTCATATTTTTCCACACAGTGGAACCTATACCTACAGATGTTAGCCTGTTGCTTTGTTCCCCACTAGGGGATGTTTTACCCTTCCCTTTCTCCCCAACCTTCTGGATTAAAGTCCTGTTGTTGACAGTCCTTTCTGTCCATCTCTTCCACATTCTGGTTAACATCAGCCAAATTACTGACACAAGAACAAATTTGCTGGAGAAGCTCAGCAAGTCTGGCAGCATCTGTGAAGGGAAGAACAGAGTTAACGTTTCCGGTCCGGTGACCCTTCCTCAAAACTGATGGTGGCTGGGAAAACATTGGTTTATATGCAGAAAATAGGGAGGAGGGTGGGGTAGGGAGTAAACGATAGGATAGAGCCCGAAGAAAGAGAAAGACGGTTGGACAGACAAAGGAGTTGCTAACGATCAGGCTGGGAGGGTGAATAGTTGTTAGTGGGGACTGTTAGTGACTAACAACAGGGGGTGTGTAATAGCAGGCTATGTGGTAACAAGGCCTGGTATATGGGGTGGGGGGCTGGGACATGGGAGAGTTTAGGCCCTAAAATTATTGAATTCCATATTGAATTCCATATTCCGGAGGGCGGTAGGGTCCCAAGTAGAAAATGAGGTATTGTTCCTCCAGCTTGCGTTGGGTTTCACTGGAACACTGCAGCAAGCCAGGGAGCAGGGTGGTGCGTCGAAGTGGCAGGCAACAGGTAGTTGAGGGTCTTTTTTGCGAGCAGACATAGATGTTCTGCGAAGCGGTCGCCAAATCTACGCTTCGTTTCCCCAATGTAGAGGAGATCACACTGTGAGCAGCGAATGCAGTAGACTAGAATCTGGGAAGTGCAGGTGAAGTGTTGCTTCACCTGGAAGGTATGTTTGGGCCCTTGGATACTGGGGAGAGAGGAGGTAAATGGGCAGGTGTTGCACCTTCACTGGTTACAGGGGAAGGTGCTGTAGGGCTGTGGGGAGGTGTTGGGTGTGAAGGAAGTGTGGACCAGGGTGTCCCAGAGGGAATGGTTCCTGCGGAAGGCGGACAAGGTAGGGGAGGGGCATATGTGTCTGGTGGTGGCATCTCGCTGGAGGTGGCGGAAATGGTGTCTGGTGATCTTCTGGATGTGGATGCTGGTGGGATGGTAGGAGAGGATAAGGGGAACCCTATTGCTGTTGCGGGAGGGAAGAGAAGGGGTGAGGGCGGAAGTGCGGGAGATGGGTCGGACCTGGTTGAGGGCCCTGTCGACAACGGAGCTGGGGAATCCTCGGTTGAGGAAGAAGGTGGACATTTCGGAGGCTCCCTTGTCGAAGTTAGCCTCATCTGAACGTATGCGACAGAGACGGAGGAACTGAGAGAATGGGATGGAGTTGTTACAGGAAATGGGGTGTGAGGATGTATAGTCCAGGTAGCTGTGGGAGTCAGTCGGTTTTTAGTGAATATAACTGGCCAGTCTATCCCCAGAAATAGAAATAGAGATGTCAAGGAAGGGAAGGGAGGAGCCAGAGATAGACCAGGTGAAAGTGAGGGCTGGGTGGAAATTGGAGGCGAAATTGATGAAGTTTTCCAATTCCAGATGAAAAATTAGCCAATTTATCACATCTACTCTCACCTGATCCCTTTCCACAACTATTTATTTTAAAGCTCCCTCTATCATTCTAAGTATACAGTTTGCAAGAACACTGGTTTTATCACAGTTCAAATGAAGCCCATTCCCAACAGTACAGTTGTCACTCTCCCCAATGCTGGTGATAGTTTTCCCTAAATCAAAACCTATTTCTCCCACTTTAGTTTTCAAACCATGCATTATACTGACTGATCTTAATTACCCAATAACGATTTGCTCACAGCCAATACAGTGAATCAGAGATTACTGTCTTTGAGCTTCTGTTTTTGAACTTAGCCACTTGCAGTCTTTCACTGATGGCTGTCTAAGCTGGAAAAGTCACAGCAATTTCATCCAGAAAGAACAGTACTGTATGTCCAAATCAGGAGGATGTATCATTTGGAGGGAAACCTGTTGTTAATGCTGCTGTTGCTGCTGACATTATTATTTCAAATTCACAGGCTTATAATTTCTGTCACTGTAAGCTTGTTGAATTGCTGTGATGCACCAATTCTTGAGGAGATCTCATTGGAACAAATAGCAAATGTAAATATTAATGACACATTGCTGTTTTCCTAGCACAAGCTATAATCAACTGTAAAATTACCAGCTAGATTAACACAGGTGAAAGGTATTGAATTAAATTTTGCTGAGTAATTTTATTTACCTAACATCTTTAATTTTTTAAAGTCCATTTTAATTCTTGTATCAAGTTTGGGAGGATAGAATGCTGGCTGAATTACATTTACCTTTCTGTGAACATCCTCAGTTATTTTGCGTAAACATGTGTATTTATGTAACTTGCTTCATTGAAATAAACGAGGCGGGCAAATTTTACTAAAATAAGACTGTGAGCCAACTATTAATGATTTCACTCTGGCAAACCGGGAAATTTACTTTCACCACATTAGCAGGGAAAAGCATCTTTATTTGTTTTGAGGTGACCTTTGCATTATCCCTTGATGCAGGAACCTTATGACCCCTCCTTGCACAACACAGCCCTAAAATCTGCCCAGAGCCCCAAATCCAGAACTTAACTCCCGTCTCTGTCTGACCCCGATCTTGAGCGTTCACTGTCTCATCATTATGCCTTTAGTTTTCAATCTAGGAAATTGCTTGCAAAGCATCTGGGAGTGATTGTGACAGGGCCCGTTACCCTTTGTGAGGTGTTTTGATGCTTTCCAACATTCAGTATAGGCAAGGCCAGCCCCCAACTGCCCCATCCGCATCTAGGTGTTGTTATGACACAGAGACAAACAGCCAAACCAAATCAGCCTTTCTACCTCTGTACTCACAACACAGTAAAATGAAAACATTCAAAGAACCTCAAAATTGACCCCAAGGGTTCCCAACCTTTTGAATAACCAATCCCAGCCTTTGTGAATAATCAGTTCCAGACACCAATTTGTAACTTAAACAAAAGACTTAGCAATTTATTATTATTTCAATCATTCGAGTAGAGCAAATTAAACAACAAAGTAATTAATTGGCCTATGCTTTAAACCCAAAAGCCTTTGTTTTCATCCCTATTCACACAAAAAAAAACAAACACAGTTAAGGGACAAACAGCCAAAAATAAAATAAATTAAATGAAAGAAAATAACAGAGCTGGCCAGATTATTTGAGTTGTTTTCACACTGTGTTGTTCCACAGGCATGGGTGACGGTTTCTCGGTTGATTTTTTTTGAAGATAACAATCAAGGTCACCCTTTCAGTTCACACAGATGAAGGAGGTGATACTGATAACTCAGTTTTCTCTGAGCTTCCGAGGCTGCTCATGGGAGGTTAGGCAGGGAGCTTTCACATCTTCATGCTGCAGCATCAACAGCCAGATTCTCTCTCACAGAAAACACATTCTGTGATTCTAAATTGCCTGTTTTACTGATTCCACTGTAGATGCCTTTATCTCCAAACCATACGCTTGTTGAGTTCACTCTGACATACATTAAAATAAAGACTGATTTGCAGAAGGCTGTCTAAAGTTAAGAGATCTGGATGAAGAGTGCATGACGGTATTTTCAAAATGTTATCTCTCTGCTTGTGGGCCTTCAGGTGTTTGTAAATCAGCAATGTTTTGAAATTCTATTCATCCTTTGTAATAAATGTCTTTTATGTTAATAAACTGCAGCGATCCAAGATGATGCTTTTATTTCATGTTATCTTGAATCTTATAGTTTACACTCATTCTCTGCGATTGCTAAAAGACCTAATTTTGTCCATTGAAATATCTGCTTGGAAATTGATTGATAAATTTCTTTTGGCTGTGTAATTTATTTTGACGAGTTGCCAGCTATCCATCTACACCTATTTCTGTTTTCCACAGGAAAACGACAAGCCGGATTTCTAGCAGAGAGAATGCTTAGTCCCAAAGATCATCTGAAAGAAATCAACTATGAGCTTGTCACTGGAAAAGTTGGGGCTCTAGGAGCTTTTTTCAGCAGCCTTTGTCCAGGTAAAATACTCCAACCAGGTGTTCCTCACACATTCCAAATCTTCCCTCGGCTAATCTTTTATCAATTAGAATTGCAAATCTTTTAGGGTTTCCTATTCTTGTGTGCTTTCTCTGCCTCCCATATTCCCAGTCCCTGTTTATATTTAGCTTGGTTATCTACTTCCTGACATTTATCATAAAGGTACTTTTAATATTTCATTTTAATCTCTAAATCTTTAGTTATCCTGGTAGTTACAGCTTTTGATGCCGTCCTCTCCCCATCACGGAAATGTATCTCATAAATACGCAATTATCTCTTCTTTGAAGGCCTAATAATGCTTACTTACAATTTTACCTGTCCACGTTTGCTTCTAATCTATTCAAGCCAAAATCCTTTTCAGTTTACTCAAATTGACATCCCCTGGTTCAGCATTTCATGTGGGTTTTTAGCTTGAACTTCTACAAGATTGCTCTAAGCCAAATGATATTGTGATCACTAGTTCTTAAATACGCTCTCCCATTGAAATTTGTTCTACTTACCCCAGTTCATTCCCCAGAACACCACCTAGAAAATCAACCCCGGAGCTGAACCTTGACTGAATGATTGAGTGTAGAGTTTCACTAGCTCCAACAAATTGTCATGCATAACGCTGAGTAATCACAAGCTATCTCAACCCTGGTAATCTGCAGTATTTCAGTATAACAAATACCACAAAGTCTGAGATTTGCCAAAAACAATTTATTATTCTTTGGGCCCCATATTTTCACTCCTTGAGGTAGCAAGAATAATCGTGAGTGTGATGAGTCCTGAAATCAGTTCTCACTGTTAAGATAAATTTTCTCAATTAAGCCCTTCCTCCTTAATGGCAAGGTGAATATGCATGTATTTTTGTTTCATTAAGTACCCTGCCCACAGGAATTAACTTTCCCTTCCCTAGTAACTGCTGCCCCGCTATCTTCTGCCCAATCGAAGACTTCCACATTTCAGACACTCAACAGCATAAACCAAGCATGTACCTGATGCCTTTGCTGTTCTGCATGTTGCCCATATGAGCACACAGCTTTTGCTGCCTCTATCAATACCTCCACAAGTGCTGCTTCTCCTCATTTTCACTGAAACTGCTACACCTGTAGTAAGTGCCTCCATATTGACTAAGGCACAGTATGGAAGATCATACCTCCCAGCTGGGCACCAGTGCCAGCCTCTCAGGTGGCTCTTTATCTGTGGTCAAGCAGAACCTTTTCCTTAACCCTATTGAGGTCAAGTCATTGAGTGTCTTTAAGACAGAGATAGATAGGTTCTTGATTAGTAAGGAGATCAAAGGTTACAGAGAGAAGGCAGGAGAATGGGGTTGAGAAACAGATCAGCCACCATCAAAAGGTGGAGCAGACTGAGGCTTAATGGCCTAATTCTACTCCTATACCGTATGGCCTTCTGGTCTTTAACATGTTTAAGGAACTTTCAGAGCCATGATTTCCAGATTTGGGTGCATCCATTGCAGATAAGCAAACTGTTAAGATTTGCTCAACAATTGGAAATGAAGGTCTACATCAGCTTAACGTATCAGGACTAACAGCCCCAAGAGCTAAAAGTTTCCAAAAATTTATGAACCACATTAGAAGACCAATTTAGAATCAGATTAAACTTCCATATTCTTAACTAGAATTCATGTCATTTAGACAGAGGTCCATGGAATCCATAGACCAATGTGCACAGATGTAGAAAAAAGGGATCATTCCGTTGTTTTTGGTGTGGGGAGCCAACAACTAGAATTGTTGATTTGGTGATCATATCAACCCCATGGGAGCTTTCTAGAAATATTTGCTAGACAAACCAAAACTTACTGCTTCAAAGAACTGTTGAAGGATGGTCATAGGTACTAAGTGATCCTTTCAGGTTGACAAAACATCCAGCTCCTATGTATTAACTCAACAGTTGGCACAAATATTAGAACACCTGAATACAGTAAGACATGGAAGGAGCAGTCTTCTGCATTTATCTAAGGAAATGCCCGGCTTTTGATCAATTTTTCGAAGCACATCGCAGTAAAGGCCATTGGCAGAGGCAGCGTTCCAGAGCAAAGATAATGCAGCTACAAAGAGCTGTGCACTGATCCAAACAGACCATGTATAAGGAATACCTGCAAGCTACAAGAAAGACCATCCAGTATTCCTCCAGTGGCATATCCTGAAGCACAGACAAACCAACTTTTGATGATGTACACAAGATAAAGAGTGGTGAACACGTTTCGTGCTGTCAATCTCATCGTAAACACCAATGTCAACACAGTGTTAGCAAGTATTGAAATTATCTGTACTGGTGCCTATTTGTTATTGGCTAAGTTTAATACAAGGGCAAGTTCTAAGCACTAGCCCTGTGAATTCTTAAAAATGTATTTATGGAAAGCCGTGATAAAAGCTGTGAATGTATAACTTTCAACTCACAACATTCACCAATTTTTTGTGTAGGATCAATAATGCTGGAACCTATCTGAATGCCACAGATGTTGTGTATCATAGATACTGCTGGAAGGGTCTACCAGCATTCTGTGACATTGAACTGGCCATTATGCATGAAATCAGCAATATCAGAGACATGACAGAACTGCAGCTGACTATTTGAGAAGCACTTGCAAAACTCTGTATGAAAGAAATTCAGAGCACATCATTTTCTTTTGAACTAATGGAATTAAAGTCCCAGCTCTCTGCTATGGAAAGAAAAATGCAAATTCAAGAGGAATTGGCTGAATAATCAGGACAGTTCCAGACTTGAGAATACCATCTTTCAGGTGATAATGTCTTAAAGACATATCTCCGCTCACCTCACAAAGATGAATGAAGAGCTGAAAGGGAAAGAAAGGTAATAGGTTGAAATACAAGCTCAGTATCATCAATCCAATGAAAGCATTGCCATTTTAGATGAGATGTGGAGCAACTTGCATGTAAAACACATCTGGCTTATCTGAAGCATAGGCCTGGGATCAAAGCAGTGCTGGAGAAAATGAGATACCTGTAAAATCAGGTCAAGATGGACAGTGCACACAACATGGAACTGTAAATCACTCCTTTCAGAAACAAATGTTAGCAAACATGCTCTTGTGATAAAACTGGAGCAGGGTATAGGGGAAACTAAACAATTTCTGAAGCAATAAGTAGAAGTCCAGATTTTAACAAAAACAAAAAGCAAAACAAAAATTGAAGAGAATGGACAGTTATTAGCGTAGTTTATGAGAAGAGAAATTTGCAGGCTCAACAGATAGAATTGGAAGAATCCAGCGTGGAAAACCAAAAGCTTTAAAATAAGCTGGAAGCTCTTAGGGGACAAAGCAATAAATGTCAAGAGATTTGAACCGCTCAAACTCTTTGTGAGATCTGTCTTAGCCATAGTGCATCAGGATAAGCAAATTCAGGAACAGTAACTCTAATGCATGATGGAAAGACTTGATCACTGGCGACCGTGGAAATCAGTGACACCTCCAAACAAAGTCACCATCATGGGATCTGGATGTTTCAGAAAATCTAGACATAATAGAGATTCATTGACGCATTTGATATTGTGTTGGGGCTTCTTCTGGAAAGGTAGAGCATGTTGCATGTGTACTTTGCCTTTAAGAGTGTTCAACTTTAAGGACTCCATGTGCTGTGTGTGTACAATGTCAAAATTAGAATGTGTTTTACTGTTTTCGATAAACTACGTCACGGGGATAATCAGTCCCTGACAGGGGATGAATTATTAGGTCACAATTATTAACTTTTCTGCATTCTGTACCTATTTAGAAGGAGATATTGACACACTCTTAGAAAAGTGTAGTCTGACAAGAAATGGCCAAGGCTGTTCTTTCAATGCTTCCTTAAAGAAATTCGATGACAGCACAGCTCAGAGACTAGCTGTATGTTCAGGTAAACATCCAAACTCACTCCTTTGCAGTTTATGTCTGATTAGAAACATTTGGGAACATTAAGGATAAGTATGGCAAATTTAGGGAACCTTGGATAACAAGAGATATTGTGAGCCTAATAAAAAAGAAAAAGGAAGCATTTATCAAGGCTGGGAACACACGAAGCAAGGGTGGAATACAAGGAAAGTTGAAAGAAACTTAAGCAAGGAGTCAGGAGGGCTAAAAGGGGTCATGAACAGTCAGTGGCCAACAGGATTAAGGAAAATCCCAAGGTTTTTTATACATATATAAAGAGCAAGAGGGTAGCCAGGGAGAGGGTTGGCCCACTCAAGGACAAGGAAGGAAATTTATGTGTGGAGCCAGAGGAAATGGGCGAGGTATTAAATAAGCACTTTGTATCAGCATTCACCATAGATAAGGATTTGGTGGATGATGAGTCTGGGGAAGGATGTGTAGATAGTTGGGTCATGTTGAGATCAAAAGGGAGGAGGTATTGGAGGACTTGAAAAACATTAAGGTAGACATATCCCCAGGGGCTGATGGGATATACCCCAGAATACTGAGAGAGGCAAGGGAGGAAATTGCTGGGACCTTGAGAGAAATCTTTGTATCCTCACTGGCTACAGAGGAGGTCCTAGAGGATTGGAGAATAGCCAATGTTGTTCCTTTGTTTAAGAAGGGTGGCAGGGATAATCCAGCTAATTACAGGCCAGTGAGCCATAAGTCAGTGGCAGGGAAATTATTGGAGAGGATTCTTCGAGACAGGATTTACTCCCACTTGGAAATAAGTGGATGTATTAGTGAGAGGTAACATGGTTTTGTGAAGGGGAGATCGTGTCTCACGAACTTGGTTGAGTTTTCTGAGGAAGTGACGAAGAGGATCAATGAGGGTAGGGCAGTGGATGTTGTCTACATGGACTTCAGTAAGGCCTTTGACAAGGTCCCTCATGGCAGGCTGATACAGAAGGTAAAGTCACTCAGGGTCAGAGGTGAGCTTACAAAATGGGTAAAAAACTGGCTCAGTCATAAAAACAGAAGGTAGCAGTGGAAGGGTATGTTTCTGAATGGAGGGCTGTGACCAGTGGCGTTCCTCAGGGATCAGTGTTGGGACCTTTGCTGTTTGTAATATATATAAATGATTTGGAGGAGAATGTAACTGGTCTGATTAGTAAGTTTGCTGATGACACAAAGGTTGGTGGAATTGTGGATAGCGATGAGGACCGTCAAAGGATACAACAGGATATAGATCGGTTGGTGACTTTGGCAGAGAGATGGCAGATGAAGTTTAATCCGGAAAAATATGAGTTAATGCATTTTGGAAGGTCTAATCCAGATGGAAAATATACAGTAAATGGCAGAACCCTTAAGAGTACTGATAGGCAGAGGGATCTGGGTGTACAGGTACACAGGTCACTGAAAGTGGCAACGCAGGTGGAGAGTATAGTCAACAAGGCATACAGTATGCTTGCCTTCATTGGCCGGGGCATTGAGTTTAAAAATTGGCAGGTAATGTTGAGGCTTTATAGGACCCTAGTTAGGCTGCATTTGGAATATTGTGTTCAATTCTGGTCGCCACACTACCAGAAGGATGTGGTGGCTTTGTAGAGGGTACAGAAAAGATATACCAGGATGTTGCCTGGTATGGAGGGCATTAGCTATGAGGAGAGGTTGGAGAAGTTTGAGTTGTTCTCACTGGAACGACGGAGGTTGAGGGGCGACCTGATAGAGGTCTACAAGATTATAAAGGGCATGAACAGACTGGACAGTCAGAAGCTTTTTCCCAGGGTGAAAGAGTCATTTACCAGGGGCCATGGGTTTAAAGTGCAAGGGGCAAGATTTAAAGGTGATGTATGAGGCAAGTTTTTTTACATAGAGGATGGTGAGTGCTGCCGGGGGAGGTAGTGGAAGTAGATACAATAGTGACTTTTAAAAAGCGTCTTGATAAATACATGAATAGGATGGGAATAGAGGGATGCGGTCCCCCGAATGGCAGGGGGTTTTAGTTGTGATGGGCAGCATGTTGGTGCAGGCTTGGAGGGCCGAAAGGCCAAAGGGCCTGTACCTGTGCTATAATTTTGTTTGTTCTTTGTTCTGTTAAGTACTATCCAGCACTTACTAAATGTCAAAAGTTGCTCCTGTGTTCAATGGAAAAACGTTAATTGGCAATCATGTGGAAATGGACTTTGTGGCTGTCACATCCGGATGGAAGGTGAAAGACAGACTGTTTACGTTCTCTGTTCCCACCATGAGTGACTCCCACCACCCCACGCCTCATCATCCCCAGACTAGAACACCACCACCTTCCCACTCTAGCCCTCATTTAGTTCTGGCTCTGAGTGGCAAGGTCCAAGCTCAAACATCCTTCCCTGCCACCAAGTGAGGCTGTCATATTTTCATGACTGAGGGCTTGGACCTCAGGCAGCGGTGTGGCCATCCTCCTGCCTCTGCTGTCAACACACTTGCCTGTGGTCCCACCGTTTCCCTCCCTCACCACCACCATCCCCAATCTCAGAATCTGCTGCCTCAAACAGCACTGACCTTTCCCCTCACCAATCCCTCCATCGTGAGAGTCCGTAGTGCGGCTGTAACTGGAGCTCCCACCCTCTCATTGGTTTGCAGTTTCATACAGGCTGGATTTCCTGCTCCACGGCCCAGATTTTGGCAGGAAAGAGTCAGTCAGCTGCCAGAAACTGGGGTGGGATCTGTTACTTTGAGTTACTTCTGTGTGTTTCCCCAACTGCAAAATCTACTTTTAGACCTAATAATTCTGGATAATTCTGCCCACGGAGAGAAGTTGGTGGAGGAATGAGAGACTACGATTCAATATGTGATGAATGATGGAACAAAACCATGTTGCATGAATATTTGTTCAGTGTTGTAGTTTTTTTTAAATCAAGGTGATGAATGAGTTGCAGTTTTTCTATGGTGGTAGGCTGTATGTTTTTAGTTTGGAAGAATACTACAATTACAGAAATGTCAATATATTCAGTCCAATTACACAGGCAAACAAGCTCGATAATCTGACATTTTAAGAAGCTATACATTTGCTGGATTTTGTCCTTTTAATGTCTGTTTAGGTTCCACAGTTTCAAACAAAGGAACATGCCAGATTCATCCCGTTCAACTTGCAGTGGCTCGAAAGTTGCTGTCTCATGTCTGCGCAATTGCTGATTCCAGCACACAAAATCTGGATTTGGGCTCCTTTGAGAAAGTGGACTTCCTTATTTTGGTGCCTCCATCGGAAGTGGCCTACCAGCAGACTGTGTTGCATGTCAGGCAGTCAGGTTGGTATTATGGTTTCACTGGTTTAGCTCAGTTGGCTGATTTGTCATGCAGAACAATGCCAGCGGCATGGGTTCAATTCCTGCATCTGCTGAGATTACCATGAAGGACTGTCCTTCCCAACCTCTCCCCTTACCTGAAGAGTAGTGACCCTCAGGTTAAACCACCACCAGTCAGTGATTTCTCTCTAATGTGAGAGCAGCCTTATAATCTCGAGAACAATGACAACTTTGATCTGGTAAGACTGTGGCAAGAAAGCTACAATACAGAGGGATTTGTGAATCCACATAGTTGTGATTTTCAGAAATGCCCAAAAAACAAAGCTAGCGTACAAGTTTGGTGGGTAATTGTCATAGATCGTAGAACCCCTACAGTGTGGAAACAGGCCCTTTGGCCCAACAAATCCACACTGACCTCGGAACATCCCACCTAGACTCATCCCCCTATAACCCACATATGCCTGGACACTATGGGCAATTTAGCATGGCCAATCCACCTAGCCTGCACATCTTTGGACTGTGGGAGGAAACTGGAACACCTGAAGGAAACCCACACAGACACAGGGAGAATGTGCAAACTCCACAAAGACAGTTGCCTGAGGGTGGAATTGAACCTGGGTCCCTAGCTTTGTGAGGTAGTAGTGCTAACCACCGTGCCACTATGCCACCCCAAATGGAATGTTGACTTTTATTTCAATGGGAATGGAATATGAAAGCAGGGAGGTTTTGTTAGAACCTTAGAAGGCACTAGCCACACCACAGTTGGAATACTGTGTTGGGCTTCTTATTTAGTCAAGATATACTGGTATTGGAGGCAGTCCAGAGAAGGCTCACTAGGCTGATCCTGGGTATGGATGGATTTTCTTATGAGGACAGTTTGAGTAGGTTGGACCTGGACTCATTGGAATCCATAAGAAGGAGAGGCAACCTTATTGAAACACATGAGATTCTTAGGAGACTCGACAGGGTAGATGCAGAAAGGATGTTTCCGCTTGTGGGAGAATCTAGGACCAGAGAACATCAGCTCAGCATAAAAGGATACCCATTTAAGACAGAGAGGAGGAATTTTTTCTCTTAGACGGAAGTGAATTTATAGAATTCTTTACAGCAGCGATCTGTTGCGGCTGGGTCACTAAGTATATTCAAGGCTGAGATAGGTTTTTAATCAGTAAGGGGAATCCAGGGTTATGGGGAAAAGGCTGGAAAGCAGATTTGAGGGTTTATCAGATCAGTCATGATCTCGTTGAATGGTGGAGTAGATTCATTGGGCTGAATGGTTGACTTCTGCTCCTTTTTCTTATGATCTTATGATTTACAGTTTCAAGCAATATTTCATTGCTGAAGGTAGTTCATTTTGTAAATGGACCAGAGCTGCTAAGAGAAATATGATACTAAAAAAGTCCTACTTAGGTGTTGAGTCAGATACTTAGCAATCATGAAAATCACTGGCAAGGGGCTTAAAAGATGAACATTTTATTTTGCCAGGTCTAATCAAGCAACCAGATATTTTTACTTCTAATTATGTTGTAGTATATTTAAAGCACCGGTTTAGGAAATGTTCAAAGTGGCGCATGTTTTAAGACAAGAGACATTCCTTTCACAAGCTTTAGTGTTTTCAAAATTAATGTTTTAAAAGTGAAAGTTCCTCGGTAGTTATAATAAAAACTTGATCCCTTAAAAATTGACCTACAGAATTGAGTATTGCCGATGTATGTTAAGGAATTTTGTGGACAATAAGACAATGGGGAAGAATTTTTACTGACCCGGTTTGCAGGAAGCTGGTTGGTCTGAAAGACAAACCTCGTGCAGTTTTACTTCCAGAATCCGCCGTTGTTATTTCAGATAGGTCCCACAGGCAGTGGCTCCCAACTGACTCGATAACTTGCAGTCAGAAATGCTACAAATCACTGGTGCCCTCAACAGCCATTACAGCTGTACTCAGAGAGATAACCAATTGAAAGCGAGAGGCTTTTCAATTTTACGGAAGCAAGATCAAACTTTTAATGTTGGCAGCCCTTGTGTTGGGAATACAGGAGCTGATGTGTGGGATTAGGGTTGGACCAGGATGAGGCATTGGGAGACTGGGATGAGGTGAAGGCAACCAGCAGCCTTGTGGGAAATCTCATGTTGGGGATGATACCTTATTATTATCTTATTTAAAGTTGTATCTCGCCTTCTTGGATTGGATGGGTCACTTTCAGACCAAGGGGCCCTTTAATAAATCGCTAGGTTATGCAACTTTCCTGAAGGTGCCCCATCAAATGTTACCGTCCTGCATTTAGACCACAAGGAAAAGCATTTTTGATTTATTCTCAAAACACCTTATGCGTAGAAAACACAATCAAAAGGATCCTCGATTTTCAGCAAAATGCCTTAAAGAATGACAGGGTTCATATTTGAAGTTGTTGTTGTAATTACTCAGGCACAACATAGGCCACAAAACCTATTCACGTTTGTATCTTAAGGTGCACTTATATGAATAGTAGCTTGTGGCAGATAGCCTGGTATTCTCTAAGTACATATGGCCTTTTAGTTAAGAAGGTCAACTGACTCCTTTAGGATTTCCATCCATTCGAATGACTGGATCATGCAGCTCAAGGACTAACTGACTTCCAAACCCAAATTCCAGGTATGTTTTTGTATCAAATAAAGCCTCTTACCATGAATAGAGCCATCTGTCTCTAGCGTGGCAAAAGAAAATATATTCTGAACACTGGAAGTAGACAAATGACTTTATGTGTGATCAATATTTTACATTTTAAGATTAATTCACGATGACATTTTATGAATGTTGAAACCTGACTCCCCTAGGTTTTCCATCCATTCGAATGACTGGACCATGCAGCTCAAGGACTAACTGACTTCCAAAGTACACCTTAAGATACAAATGTGAACAGGTTTTGTGGCCTATGTTGTGCCCGAGTAATTACAATAACAACTTCAAATATGAATACTGTGTCATTCTTTAAGGCACTCTGCTGAAAAACGGGGATCCTTTTGATTGTGTTTTCTAAGGATAGTAAAATGTAGCTCATACTTTTCAAATGTTCACTTATTTTCACTAGAAAGTCAGTGCATTTCGTAACCAAACATCTAAAGTTTAGTAAAAATCAAAAGAACTGCGGATGCTGTAAACCAGGAACAAAAACAAAGTTGCTGGAAAAGCTCAGCAGGTCTGGCAGCATCTGTGAAGAGAAAAAACAGAGTTAACGTTTTGGGTCTAGTGACCCTTCCTCAGAACGGAAAGTATAGTTCCTTCAGCCATTGCCAATGTAAATCTATAGGAAGAAGGTCAGTTGTATTTCATAAGGATTTTCACTGCCTAAAGAAATGGAGAATGATTGTCATAGAATCGTAGAATCCCTACAGTGTGGAAGCAGGCCATTTGGCCTATCTAGTCCACACTGACCCTCTGAAGAGCATCCCAGCCACACCCACCCCTCTACCCTATCCTTTAAACCCTGTATTCCCCATGGCTAATTCACCTATGGACAATTTAGGATGGCCAATCCAACCCAATTCACCTAACCTGCACATCTTTGGATTATGGTTATTAGTAGTTGATATCTAAAATTTCCATGAAAATCTCAATGTCTTTACAATCATCTGGATCTTTCAAACAATCAAGGAAATACATCTGACTTTAAAATGTTTTTTAAAAAAAACTGCACTAGAAGCTCAAAAGCATGTTATTGGAAGCTAATGGAGACAATAAGGACTGCAGATGCTGGAAGCCAGAATCCAGAGGTGTGAGGCTGGAAAAGCACAGCAGGTCAGACAGCATCAGAGGAGCAGGAAAGTCAGTGTTTTGGGCCAAAACCCTTTGTGAGTGCTGATGAAGAGTTTCGGCCTGAAACATTGACTTTCCTGCTCCTCTGATGCTGTCTGACCTGCTGTGCTTTTCCAGCCTCTCACTTATCAGAAGCTAATCTTTGACAATTAAGCATGGCAATAATACCTTCAAGAACCCAAAGCAGCTTTTGTAATTTACCCACTCTGTTGGGATCCAGCAAAGTGTGAATTCCAGCCCTGGCCTGTGTTTTTGTTTTGCAGGGATCTTGGTAGAACTTGGGTTGGAAGGAGAGTGTACTGCAAATCAGTGTGCAGACCAGTATGTCATGAAGCTTACCACAGAAGCTCAGGGCAAGTTTGAAGCCTTCCAGCAAAGAGCATTAAAGAACCCTTACACACTGTTCATACTGATCCATGACCATGCACACTGGGATTTGACCAGGTAAACTCTAAAATATGTTGTATTTAAAGTTTTATGAACCAGATGTCTGATAAATTCGAAGTTGCATCTGTAGGAATAAATGCTTCTTCACCATTCCTAGAATTTGATTTGTAGTCCTATTGTGATGATTTTATTTACCTTTTCAAATTCAAATTTAGTTTAAAAATATACATGCCATTATTCAAAGTAGAGCCATGTGACCCTTTTTCTCCTGTTATTAATGGAACGTGGTATCTATTATATTAGTGACATCATGGACATTGTGACTTCTACTGTCTCTTACAATGTGGATGTGAACTGACCCTCTATTTACCTTCTGAGAATTCAGGGACAAACAGGGCCTTATTCTTGTCTAAAATACTCAGAAATTACTGGAGAAACTCAGCGGATCTGGCAGCACCTGTTCTGAACAAAGTTTACTGGACCCGAAACATTAACTCTGCTTTCTCTCCACAGAAGCGATTTCTTACTTTTTGTTTCAGATCAGCAGTGCTTTGTTTTATTTGAGAATATGGTGGTGGTGGTGGAGTGGTCATGTTGCTGGACTATTAACCCATAGGCTTAGCTGAACGCTCTTGAAATCACGCCATGGCAGCTGATGGAATTTAAATCCAGTTGTAAACCTAGAATGAAAAGGTGGTCTAATAGTCACCTGAGGTTTTTTTTTGCTGCGCTGTTTGAGGATAAATGTTGGCCAAACCCCAATGAATCCTCTCCTGTTTATCTTCAAATAGTACCATGGGATCTTTTATATCTGCTTAAGAAGGAATGCGGGGCCTCAATTTCATATCTCCTCCAAAGGCAGCACTGCATTGCTCTACACTGTCATAAAGGGCTGAAATTTCCCATATTTTGGATATGTCAATTTTGGGGGGGTTTCGTCCAAGACCCCTGGTGACTGTTCTCTACTGCTCTCCATAAGTATCCACATTGCCTCCATACGCAGCTGTCACAGTCTCATACCCAGCAGAGCTGGAAGTGCTCGCCTCTGCCACGACCTTCAGCCATTCAAGCCATGGATGTTATAATTAAGCCCAGTTCAAAGGCTGAAAATCAGGAACTGCTTTTAGTGGGGTGCTGTACACTTGGCAAGGCTTTGAAGGAGAGTGACAAATTGGCACCCTGTTTTGCCCACAGGGACCCAGAAGTAGCTTGTGACTCTAGAGGACTGCTGGAGACCAGGCACTTTTCCAGCCTCAGGATGTTTTAAATTGTTTTCTCACCTCTTTACACCAAACACCATCTATTTTCTTTGGTGCACAGCATACGTTATCGGAGTATGCTTTCTGGCCTCTTGAGCCTGCTCTGCCATCCAATAAAATCATGGCTAATCTGATTGTGGCCTTAGCACCACTTTCCTACAATACTTGAGGCTGTGTTTCATGTTTTGTTTTTTGGATACAAAATAGTTGTTCAAAGTTTCTGATATTTCCTTATTTCTTATTGCTAGTTTCCCAATCTCATCATCTAAGGGATCGATGCTTCCCTTAGCTACTGTCTTACTTATAGGAGCTTCTAATAGAGGATATATCTTTGTTGTGAGTGATGAAATGTTTCCTTAAACGTCTATAATTTCTTACCTACTATCTTGTCTCTTAATCTATTTTCCCAGTCTAGAGTCATACAGTCATAGAATCATAGAGTCATACGGCACGGAAACAGACCTTCGGTCCAACCAGTCCATGTGGAACATAATCCCAAACTAAACTCGTCCCACCTGCCTGCTCCTGGCCCATATCCCTCCAAACCTTTCCTATTCATGTACATATCCAAATGTCTTTTAAAAGTTGTAATTGTACCCGCATCCACCACTTCCTCAGGAACTTAGTTCCACATGTGAACCACCCTGTGTGTAAAAATATTGCCCCTCGTGCCTTTTTTAAATCTCTCATCTCTCACCTTAAAAATATGCCCCCTTATCTTGAAAGCCCCCATCCTAGGGACAAGACACCTACCAGTAACCCTATCTATACCCCTCATGATTTTATAAACTTCCATCATGTCACCTCTCACCATCCTACACTCCAGTGAAAGAAGTCCCAGCCTATCCAGCCTTTCTTTACCTTTTTAATAGTCTGTACTGAGGTTTAAGACACTAGGTTTAGACTCAGGTTTCTCATCACCAGAGTACAGTAAAGCTCGAGTGTATGATAGGTCCAGGAGGAAGCTACTTGCTGTTTCAGTTGAAGCCACAAATGACATAAACCTACCAAAGTGTTAGGTACAGGAGCTCTGGTGTGTGTATTATTGGAGTGATGTTTTAAAAACTGCATTGGGGTGATTTACACAAAAGCTCAGAGACGGTAAGCTTCAAAATCTCCCCACCCCCGACCTCATCCAAAGACCAGCCCATCTCGTCCCCGCCTCCTTTACCTGTCCATCTTTTCTCCCACCTATCTGCTCCTCCCACCTCACTGACCAAACCCCACCCCGACTTCCTACCTACGAGCCTCATCCCCGCCTCCTTGACCTGTCCGTCTTCCCTCCCACCGACCCGCCCCTCCCTCCTCACTGACCAATCCCCATCCTAACTCCCTACCTACACTCACATTTACTGGCTTCATCCCCACCTCCTTGACCTGTCCATCTTCTCTCCATCTATTTGCTCCTCCACCTTCTATCATCGCCTCCCCCTCTCTCTCTATTTATTTGAGAGTCCCCTTCCCCTCCCCCATTTCTGAAGAAAGGTCCAGACCCGAAACGTCAGCTTTCCTGCTCCTCTGATGCTGCCTGGCCCGCTGTGTTCATCCAGGTCCATACCTTGTTTACACAAAAGCTGTTCTGTTTCTTTACAATTTATGTAGGAGTGTTTTGGGAAAAATGAACTAATGGTTGACCAAGTGTTTAAATTTTTGATTTTGTATTATAATTCATTATTTGACAGCTTCAACTGAGGCATCATTGGATGAATATTTGGTAGAAATAATATACATGAGTTTGACGGCAGGTAATATTGCAGATTTGAATAGCCAGTGCTGACATGATGGGCCAAATGGCCTCCTTCTGTCCTATAACACTTCTGTGATTTTGTGATAAATAGATAGTTGGATTATTCTATTTTATTCTTGTTCCTTTTGCAATAAAGTACTTTTGTTGCTGTTTTGTTGTTCAATCAAAATCTGCAGCATTGCATGCTTATGTTTCAGCAAGAGACCACTTCATTAAAATTAAAACAAGTAAAAATATGATTTATTAAGTGAAGGTTCTGACTGTGAACTGGCCTGTCTGGTGATCTGCTGAGATCATAATATCTGTCCTAGAGTGTAGGGAGACTTATAAACTACTCTCTCCATGACATCTTTCCTTTGCCATTTCATAACTCAAACTGATTCTACTGGTTCTGAAGAAGGGTCACTGGACTTGAAGTGTTAATTCTGATTTCTCTTCACAGATGCTGCCAGACCCGCTAAGGTTTTTGCAGTAATTTTCTGTTGTTGTTGCTGGCTTCCAGCATCCACAGTTCTTTCTTTTTTTGTTTACTGATTCTACATCTTGACCTTATGGACCAAGACATTTCATACTCCTATTTTGATGTTTTCTTTTGTGAACAGAACTCTCCCATACTCTTCTGTCATTTTCCCTAGTATGACCCTGCTAACCAGTGCACTCTTTTATGTTTCCAAGTTCCGTTCCTTGCTGTCACACTCCAGTTATCATTATCCATAATGCTAATCTGCAATGTTTCCTTGTCCCTTCTCATAACTTTCTAAATCTCCCCTGATATGAACCACCTCCCTGTACATTTGTAAACTTTTTCTCTACAGACTCCATTACTTGTTTAACTGGGACACCCTGGTCCCAGTGCAGTTCTAGTGAAACCTATCCCAGTGAAATACCCCCTTTTTGTCACTGAGTACTCTGCCAGGACCTCATGAGCTGACACCCAAATCTCCCAGAACAATCTTCCAGCCACAATGTTTACCTTTTGTCAGTTTGCAGATTGGTCAGTTAGAAATCTGTGGATTATTTCATAGAATCCCTCCAGTATGGAAACAGGCCCTTCGGCCCAACACGTCCACACTGACCCTTGGATCATCCCTCCCAGACCCATCCCCCTATAACCCACCTAAGCTACACACCCCTGAACACTACAGGCAATTTTCCATGGCCAATCCACCTAACCTGCATATCTTTGGACTGTGAGAGGAAACCAGAGCACCCGGAAGAAACCCACGCAGACACGGGAAGAATGTGCAAACTCCACACAGTCACCTGAGGCTGGAATCGAACCCGGGTCCCTAGCGCTGTGAGGCAGCAGTGCTAACCACTGAGCCACCACGCTGCCCCAGTTATTTTGTGGTTCTACTTTTTAACTTATCCACAAGCTATTCATACTCCCTCTTAATTCTTAATCTTATCTTTCTTGTTGGTAGCCACATGGGCTATAAGAACTGGATTCTTCACCTCCTACTCCAGATTTCTAACCAGTCCAGGCTGGCATCCCTGGCATCGGGCAAGCTGCATGGCCTTTGAGACTCACGCTCACGGCTACAGAGAACAGTTTCTGTCCCCCAACCACACAGTCCACCACTGCTACTGCTGCATTTCTGTTTGCTACAGAGTTCGAATGGCCACCTGTACGATAGTGCTATAGTCAGTTTTCTCATCCTCTATACAGACCCTGCTCCATTCTGCATAGGCCGAAAGAACCTTAAATCTGTTGGACACATGCATGGACTAAGGCTCTTCCAGTGCAACTTCCTGGGTCCCCATAGCTGTCCCAATCACACTCACACTCAAACTGTCTTGTCTCTGATCACGACCATATCTGAAGTACTTAACTGTAGGGGTGTGACTGCCTGCTGGGACATAGTGTGTAGGACAATTTCTTCTGCTCTGATGTTTCAGTGTCCAAAGTTTGGAATCCATCAAATCATTTCATCTGGGCCCAAATTCTTTCTTCTTGAACTGCAGACATTTAGTGCAGATACAGTTACTTTGGAAACCATCGCTGCTCTATAGTTGTAACCCATCTCCGACTCGGCATCACCTTTGTTTTTTGTGTAACAGGGTTTCAAGATTTGAAATATCACTCAATGGTTATCTGTAGATTTATTAGGTAGTATATCTAGTTATAAACAGTGCTTGTATCTCCTGGATCTTGTTTAAGCAACTGCCTCAATTTAGAGAAGGAATACTGTGAAAATCAAGAACCAATTATGTACCTGCAAACCTAATGAATCCCCCTCGACCTCCATTCTGAAGCCTTGCTGTTTCTCGCTCCTTTTTGTGAACTGCTCCTTGACATGGGAATGATCAGACCAGGACTCCTCATTCTTACACTATCAGTGATGACCAGAAACTGAACTGGACTAGTCATGGAAATACAATGGCAGGTCAGAGGCTAGGAATACTGCACCAAGTAACTCACCTTGTGACTCCCCTAAGCCTGTCCGTCATCTACAGGACAGAAGTCAGGAGTGTGATGGAATAGTCCCCGCATACCTGGATGAGTACAGCTCCCTCAACACTGAAGAAGCTTGACTCCATCCGGGACAAAGCAGTTGACATGTATCACACAACACTGATAACCACTTGCTCCCTCCACCATCGACGCTAGGTAGCAGCAGTGTGTACTACCTGTTAATCTAAATTGGTTTCATGTTAGGAGACAGAGGGTGATGATAGAGGGTTGTTATTCAGACTGGAGGCCTGTGGTTACTGGTGTGTTGGGTCTGCTGTTGGTTGTCATTTATATTAATGATTTGGATGTGAATATTGGAAGTATAGTTAGTAAGTTTGCAGATGACACCAAAACTGATGGTCAAGTAGACCGTCAAGAAGGTTATCTAAGTACAATGGGATGTTGATCCAGTGGGCCGAGGAATGGCAAATGGAGTTTAGTTTGGGTAAATGTGAGATGTTGCATTTCGGTAAAACAAACCAGGGCAGGACTTACACAGTTAATGATAGGGCACGAGAAAATGTTGTCAAACAGAGACCTAGGGGTTGCAATACATAGTTCTTTCAGTGGTGTCAGAGTTACACAGGGTGGCAAAGAAGGCATTTGGCATGCTTGCCTTCATCAGTCAGAGCATTGAGAACAGGAGTTGGGATTCCTTGTTACAGCTGTACAAGATGGTGGTAAGGCCACATTTGGAGTACTACGTACAATTCTGGTCGCTCTGGAAAGGGTGCAGAAAAGATTTACAAAGATGTTACTGAGACTGGATAGTTTGAATTATGGGGAGAAGCTGGATGGACTAGGACTTTCTTTTCCTGGAGTGTAGATGGTTGAGGGGATACATTCTAGAGGCTTATAAAAATTAAGCAGTTCATAGGTAAGGGGAATAACCAAAATCTTTTCCCCAGGGTAGGGGAATCAAAACTAGAGGGCAGATGTTTAAGGTAAGAGGGGAAAGATTTAAAAGGGACCTGAGGGGCAACTTTTCACGCACAGGGTGGTTTGTGTGTGGAATGAACTGCCACAGGAAGTGGTAAATGCAGGTAAAGTTACAACATGTAAAAGATATTTGGACAGATCCATGGACAGGAAAGGTTTAGTGGAATATAGGTCAAACACAGGAAAATAGGACTACTTCAGTTTAGGAAATTTAGTCAGCATGGACAAATTGGGCCGAAGGGCCTATTTCTGTGCTGTATGAGTCTATGACTTTATGACAAGAAATTCACCAAAGATCCTTAGAAAGCACCTTCCAAACCTATGTCCATTTCCATATGGAATGACAAGTTCCCTTCCAAGGCAATCACCATCCAGATTTGGAAATATATTACCATTCCTTCATTGTTGCTGGGTCAAAATCCTGGAATTCCCTCTCGAATGGTATTATGGATCTGCCTACAGCATATGGAGTTCAATGGTTGAAGAAGGCAACTCACCACCGCCTTCTCAAGGGCAACTAGAGTTGTACAAGAAGTGCTGGCCCAGCCGGCGTTGCCCACATCTCATGAATGAATAAAAGAAATTTCCATCACTCACTACAATCTCATGCTAAATACTTAGTCGAGCAGACTTCAGTGATAGTTGGGGTTCCATGCATTTGCAAAAATGCCTCTTGTTTTTACACAAGTAACAATTCCAAAGACCTGAGGTAGCCATCACCTGACCAGGTAACCAGTTCACCGAATTCACTCTGCACCTGCCACTAACAGCGTAGTCAGCTTGTTCGTTTCTGTCTCAAACTGCAAAAGAAAGAACAAATTTATTTAAAATTTCTTCCCCATGCCAAACTTGATTTTAGAAAGAGGTCAGTTCGTAAAACAAAGACTTCCTTCACACATGAAATTCCTGAGTTTCGTACTTTGAGACTGTGACAAAGCCAAACTCTGTGAAAACTGGCCTGTGGCCTACTTGCTGTTTCTACACAGTTAAATTATGGAGGATGTCCCCCTCAGTAACTGGACACCACTAACATCAGCCCCCTTAGAAAGAACATGTGAAAGACAGAGTAATGACTTTTGCAGATCAAAGTTAGTGTGATCTTTCTTTTATCAAGTTCACCAATTTTTGAAGTTTCTTTTGCTTGTCACTTGATGGTTTATATCAGCAACACAGTGGCCTTTTTCTGTTAAGTCGTAATCTTGTATATTGAAGAGTTCGCTAAATGTCCTTTCCAAGAATTCACAAAGTAAGTTCAAAGTTCTCAAATGTTCAAGCTCATGCAACTGTGAGGTGTTAGCTCCATAGTGGAATAATATTGGCTGAGCAAAATTGACAACAAACATTCTATAATTAATCTGGTAATGTTTGGGTGTAGTGAATTCCTTTATCATTCTGCTTGTATGTTGGTATTAGAATGAGTAAGGTCACATTGCTGACATTTGCCAACAAGAGAGGAAAATTCCTGGCTTTCAGCTGCCAGGGATCATTCAGCCATTCCCTGATTGAATTGGCTTCTATTTTTGGTGAAGTTTGATTAATGGTTGTGCAATGTGTTGATGCAGTAACTTTACTAGCAATCCATCTCAGAGAAGGTTTTGTCTTTCTACAGCCTCCTGATACCATACAACTGTTTGGTTTTAATGAAAGATAAATCAATTTCTCACGTTGAGTGTACAGTCAACACAGATACAAAGCATGTAGCACTTGAGCACTAAATTAACTTTTAACTTATTATGCATAGTGGTTTCATTTATTTCTACTGTCCTTAAAACTTTAAGCGATGAGACATTTATGTTTTGCTCTTTCTAACTTCTCTGCAATTGTTTGTATTAAGTGACATTTTGTAGTACAACTATGTGTGCCTGTGTTTGTATATTTCCTGAATGATCTCATTAGCTCTCGGTGTTGTATTCTTGTTTTGATTCCAGCGGGGGAACATTTTCACAAAGTGAACCGTTTCTGGGCCTGGCTGATAGAATCGTGAACTGCAAAGAAATGAAAGAAGCACTGAATGTGTTAACACTCCAAGTTACATCTTTCCCCTTTGCTCTTCAAACACAGCAGACCTACATCAGCCCCTATAATGAGATCCATTGGCCGTCATCCTGCAACAGTGTAAATTTTACTGATGTATTCTTAATGTTTAACAATTCAGTGTTGCTACAATGGAGTGATAGTGTATGATGGAACTGGCATCCTTTCTGCTGATCCTTAAAATTCTTAGGCTTAAGGATCAATAAAACAATTGGAAAAAGAAAATGTTTGGTTACTCCTTCCTACATTTATTGATCCAAATTTATTGATCTGCTGAAAATATGACCTGGGGCTGGAGAGGGAAAGATCAGCCAATGCTTTTCATTCATATTGTCATTTAATCGGCATTTTTGAAAAGTGTGGATGAAACCATGACTGGGCATGTTTGTTCCCCGTACAATGGGATAGCCAGGAAATGCAAACTTGTGATGATTAATCACTTAATTGGGGGAATGTAAATGGTTAAAATGATTAAAATGTGCTGTTTGTTCTCAAAATTCAAATTCTAACAAAGTAATAGCTTTTTGAAAGTGGTGGCAAAAGAATAACCGACAATAATGGTGAGTATCACAAAGTCATAGAGTTATACAGCATGGAAACAGACCCCTCGGTCCAACTCGTCTGCATCAACCAGACATCTCAATCTGACCTAGTCCCATTTGCCAGCATTTGCGCCATATCCCTCTAAACCCTTCCTATTCAAACACCGATCCAGATGCCTTTTAAATGTTGCAACTGTAACAGACTCCGCCACTTCCTTGGCAGCTCATTCCATACACGTACCACCCTCTGCGTGAAAAAGTTACCCCTCAGGTCCTTTTTAAATCTTTCCCATCTTACCTTAAACCTATGGACTGTAGTTTTGGACTCCCCCATCCTGGGCAAAAGACCTTAGCTATTCACCCTGTCCATGCCCCTCAGGATTTTATAAACCTGTATAATTGCTTCGATCTCTCCACTTCACTCTATTTTGGACTCTTCAGGATCCCTGCCTGCACACTGGTTACTGAACTGAAAACGTAAGCAATCAATCTCTCTTCTACAAGTAGACACTGTATTCCCTCTGTCCTAAGGGGAATGTGGGCACTTGAAGGATTGACCCTGGTCCAGAATGCATTGTGAAGATAATTGTGGATTGTGGCCACGTGTAGCATGATTTATGTCATCATAGTTATTCCTCAACTCATCTGATACTGAAGAAGCCCATGTTTGAATGCAGCAAGACCTGGGCAATATCCAGGCCTGGACTGACAAGCAGCAAATAAATTAGCACTACACAAGTACCAGGCAATGACCATCTCCAATAAGAGAATCTTATCATAGCCCCTTGACATGCAATATATTTCCATTATCAACATCCTAGTGACTACCATTGACCACAAACTAAATTGAATTAGCCACACGAATACTATAGCTACAAGAGTAGTTAAAAGGCTAGGAATCCTGCAATGAGTAACTTAGCTCTAGTCCCCCCAAAACCTGTCTGCTATTGACAAGACACGTGTCAGGCGTATGATGAAATGTTCCTTACTTGCCTGGATGAGTGCAGCTTCAACAATACCTAAGAAGTTTTGACACTATCCAGGACAAAGCAGCTTGCTTGATTGGCACCACATCCTCAAATAATTCACTCTTCCCACCACTGATACTCAGCAGCAGAAGTGTGTACCATCTACAAGATGCACTGCAGAAATTCACCAAAGGTCCTTCAACAGCGCTTTCCAAACCTACGACCTGTACCACCTGGAAAGGTAAGAGCAGCAGATACCACCAATCTCCAGTTGTGTCCAACCCACTCACCATCCTGACTTGGAAACGTATTGCCGTTACTTCAGTGTTGCTGGGTCAAAATCCTGGAATTCTATCCGTAATGGCATTGTGGGTCGACCTGCAACAAACGTACTGCAGCAGCTCAAGAAGGTAGCTCTCCACCAACTTGTCATTGGGCAACTAGGGATGGGCAGTAAATGCTGACCCAGTCAGCAACACCCACATCCCATGGATAATTAATTTTAAAAATTGTAAATAACATTTTTGTACAATTTTCTTTTTCTTAATGGGACAATGAGTTCCAAGTCAAAATATTATGCTTCTCAAACCTACCCTCTTCTGATAACATTTGCTTACAAATGTAATTTTCTCTTCACTTCACATCTGAAACTACACTCCATTGTAGCTTTATATTGTGTGCTTGTGTGTGGAGCAGTCCATTGTAAGAAAAAAATCAACATAACAGTTTTTTGAGGAATTAATCTCTTGTAGATAAATAATTGCTGTCTGAAGTAGGAAAAAATTTTGAACTGATACTTCTTCTTTGGGAAAAGGGTCTTTGTAATACTTGCTTTGTTATAAACAATTGCTTTTTTATTAGCTATCGCTCAATTGGAAAATTGTTTTACTATTGATACTATGTGATGCCATTAGCACATATTTAAAATTGTCTGATGTAAAATACATGATCACCTTCTCTTGTACCATATTCATTATTTGTGTAAACCTTTAAAAATCTAAATCCAATTTCAAAGGTTTTTGAAGAAAGAGTTAGGATTGGCTTAGGAGCTACGTGCATTTTAATGAAGGAACACTGCATCCGCCACCCCACCCCACCCCCACAACTGCACACCTACCCCATCCTCCCTGTCTCCAATCAGAAGCCGAGCTCAGAATTGTTTTAACAAGGTGTAGAGCTGGATGAACACAGCAGGCCAAGCAGCATCAGAGGAGCAGGAAAGCTGACGTTTCAGGCCTAGACCCTTCTTCAGAATTGTTTTGTAGGCTTTCTGCGAGGCGACTTCTCCACCCACTGCTGGTTGAATACCAGATTTAGTGGGACACACCACTTAAAGGGCATCAGCTGCTTACTTAAGAGACTCAATTAGGTTCTGGCAAAGAGACCATCCATAAGTGTTCCTGCTCTCCATTTAGTTGGGTGCAGTTGGGAAGCAGGATAGAGGTTTCCCACTCTACTTGCTTCCCCTTACATACAAATTCATGACCAGGATGGTGGGGATTACAAATCCAAAGGTTAATTTTTACATCTAAGTGTTGAGTGCTGTGTTTAATCATTTGGGGAATACATTATATTTGATTGACATTTCTCTCCTTTATCCTGTTCTTTACATCTCATTAGGGAGTGAACTTGTACCATGAAAACAATAAGTACTTTGGACTCTCAGACTTCATTGACTCCACCCACTCTGGGCACAAACTTCCATTGTTGAGATATGACAGTTCTTTTGAAGCAATGGTTACTGCAGTGGAGGAAAGGTAGGTGATTGGTGTAGAAACGACATGACAAGCTTTAATGCTAGAAGTGAGATCAGTCGAATGGAACTGTTTTGATAAAGAAAAGCTAGCACCGAGAGAGCTGCAGGTCTGTGATACCTTCAGTGCAAGGCTGATATTTTAGATAAGTGAAGCAACGCTAAAACAACCCAATTCTGCTTCCATTCATTGTGTTATACACTTCCTGCCTTTCTGTCACCCGATTTTTATTCCAAACTTTTGACTGCCCGTCCCTAAATCTCTTTGGTTGAAATAGAATACACAACTGCTCAGCCAACATTTGTGGAAAAAACAAGTTTATGTTTTGGGCCAATTGTATTTCATTGGAGTTTTCAATATGGACTATGATGAGGTGGTAGACGGAGCACAGTCACATTGGAGTGTTCCGTATGTGCTGTCCCACTGGCAGAAATCTCACAGGACATGTTGTTTCCGTTTGTATTTTTGGAAAATGAGACACTTCAGAAACGGTATTGATAAAAGAAGTTGTGGCTTTTAATTATTCATTGGAAGTATGGTGCCAATTATAGGCAAAATTAAGGGAGGGGAATTAAAAGTGTTAATTTTGTTTAGAAATCAGAACAATAATATGCAAATGGATTCTAGTAAAATATCTTCAAATGACATGATAATTTTAAGCCCATCCTTAAACTTCTTTTCACTCAATGATTAAAATAACCAAGAGTATATTAATCCACATGAACTAACTATTTAAAAATGCCCTCCACACTGCTGTTACTCTGTTTAGCTCAAAGCTAAAATATTTGAGTCACCACCAGCTCCCTTGAACTGAATGAAATCATTGCAAGGAATTATAATTCCAACATTATCATACACTCCCTACAGTGTAGAAACAGGCCCTTTGGCCCAACAAGTCCACACCAACCCTCAGAGCATCCCACCCAGACCCATCCCCCTGTAACCCACCTAATCTACACCTCCCTGAACACTATGGGTAATTTAGCATGGCCAATCCACCTAGCCTGCACATCTTTACACTGTGGGAGAAAACCGGAGCACCCAGAGGAAACCCATGCAGATACAGGGAGAATGTGTAAACTCCACACAGACAGTCGCCCAAGGGTGGAATTGAACCTGGGTCCCTGGCACTGTGAGGCAGCAGTGCTAACTACTGAGTCACCAGGCTGCCCTCAACATCCAGTGCCTTTTTCTCTAATCCATTTTTGTCCCCTTTTTAATTGGCTATTTATTTAAATATTATTCAAGCTTCAACCATAACTGACAAAAAAAGTTGAATTCCTATCTGGCCAACTAGAATTAACATGCAAATTGCCTTTTACTGTGAATCACATTGAGTCCTTTTTTAACAAAAGCAGAAGTTGCTGGAAAAGCTCAGCAGCTCTGGCAGCATCTGTGAAGGAAAAAACAGAGTTAATGTTTCGGGTCCGGTGACCCTTTCTCAGAACAGATCACATTACTGTACCATCTAATGGTCATACTTAAGCAAAACAGTAAAGAGACAGCATCTGAATGATTTAGTTATTATGGAAAGATAATATGCAACCACATTGGCTGTTGTTTTCTCTCCTTTTTAATTTCTGATTCTTCTCTTTCCTCTCTTATGTTCTCTGACTTTGGTTTTCTCTCATCATCAATCCCAGTATTCATAATATTTTGTGAGCATGATGGATTTGTACAGTTGTACACATCAGAATAGATAGGGTGAGACTGTGATGCTTTTGTTCCAGATGATTCAGAAATCCTTTAACCAGTTCAAAAATTTATTCCCAACAATCCAATCTGATTTCATCCACTTCCAAAATCAGTGAAGCAAGAAATTGTTCAAGAGGTAGCACTAAATTGAAGAAGTTGGGACCGTCATCCCTTGAGAGAAGTGGCTGAGAGGAGATTTGATACAGGTTTTTAGAACCATGAGCGGGCTGGATAGATTAGAAAAGGAGGATCTGTTTCCCCTTATAAAGGAACAAGACCAAGAGAGTGCGAATTTAAATTGATGTATAAACAAACCAAAGTTGATGTGAGAAAAAACTCTTTCAAATAGCAGATCATTCGGGTATAGACTGCACTGCCTGGAAATATGGTGGATGCAGATTCAATTGAACATTCAAGAGGGAGTTGGAATTTTTTTTTGGATAGAAATGGTGAGCCAGGATATGGGAAAAGGCTGGAGATTGTCAGTGGCTAATAAAACCAGTGTAGGCATGATGGGCCAAGTATGATATAACAACTGTGATTCTGTGAAAATAGCCTTTCTTGATCTTGTAACAAGCAACATAAAAGTAGCGTCTCTATGACAGAAATGAAATCTAACACAGTTTAAAAGCTCTATGCAAATTATTAATCAAATGCTTTGAAATTCTGCATGAACCCGAACATTAAACGTAACTTGAGTATGAGTTAAATCCAATAATTTATGGATGAATGTAGCTTTAACTTTGATTGTTGCTTATCCCTTTGAGAGTTTTTTGTTTTGAAGTTTTTTTTTCATTCGTTCTTATTTCTGGCTTAAGGTTTCCCAAGATGCATAGTGCTGTGATCTGGACATATATTTTAATTCAGCATTACTCGGCAGCCATGATGGTAACTGCAGGGCACTCACAGATGAAGAACTACTCTTCTGTGGAAACTCTAGAAATAATTCAGAGTCTTATAAGTTCTGCAAGAAACTGTCCAAACAACCATGGCTACATGGTTTTGCTCAGGATTCCCTCCATTTCACTTGCAGCGCTGGCATATGAGAGATTGTGTCAGGTGAGACACCGCCTGGGCCTGCAGTACAGATTTGAAATCATCCTTGGAACTCCAAGCACTAAAATCAATATTAGCCAGCACTTTCTGACACAACTGAAGGTAACTACTGGTTTATACTTGCTATTATTCCACCTTAAACAAGATCTGGATTCTTGAAGAATATCCCGTCGTTTTCTTACCTAATGTAATATATGGTGTGTTAAATCATGTGTCAAACTGTGAACGAGATCAGTTTTACTTGACATGACTCTCAACCAAGTGGCGTAACAATAAGGTGAGAGGGGAAAGATTTAAAAAGGAGCTGAGGGTAACATTTTTGTGCAGAGGGTGGTGGGTGTATAGAATGAGCTGCCAGAGGAAGTGTTGGAGGCTGGTACAATTACAACATTTAAAAGGCATCTGGATGGGTACATGAATAGGAAGAGTTTAGAAGGATATGGGTGAAATGCTGGCAAATGGGTCTAGGTCAGATTCGGATGTCTGTTTGGCGCAGACGTGTTAGACCAAAGGGTCTGTTTCCGTGCTGTATGACTCAATGACTCTAATTTCATTTTCTCTTGAACTGTTCTGCTGGTGCCAATGATTTGATTTGATTTGATTTGATTTGTTGTTGTCACATGTACCTTAGTGCAGTGAAAAGTTTTGTGTGCAGTACAGGCAGATCGTAGCAAACAAGGATATACAGATCATGGGGTGTTTAGACAGACTGAGGCATACAAGGTTACAGCTGCACAGGAGATGCACAAAAGCAAGATCAGCATCAGATTTGAAATTAGAGAGGTCCATTCGGCAGTCGAATAACAGCAGGGAAGAAGCTGTTCTTGAATCTGTTGGTGTGTGTGTTTAAGCTTCTGTATCTTCTGCCTAACGGAAGAGATTGTAAGAGAGGAAAGGTAGGGTGGGAGGGGCTTTTGATGATATTAGCTGCTTTTCCACAGCAACAAAAGATGGCGATGGTGTCCATGGATGGGAGGTTGGCTTGAGTGATGATCTGCACAGTATTCACAATTTTCTGTAGTTTCTTACATGGCCGTACCAAGCCATGATGCCCCCAGATAGAATGCTTTTTATGGTGCATCTGTAAAAGTTGATGCAGATCCTTATGGACATGCTGAATTTCCTTAGCCTCCTGAGAAGAAGAGGCGTTGTTGGCCTTCTTGACCGTCGCATCCATGTGGGAGGAGCAGGCCAGATTATTGGTTATCATCACTCCGAGGAACTTGACACTCTCGATCTTCTCCAACTCAGCTCCATTGATGTGGATAGGGGTGTGTCCTCCTCCTACTGTGGACTAATATCAATCCAATTGCTGTGGGTGTTCCTATTCTTCTTCAATTGCCAGATATGTTTCTGTCCTTGTATGGACATTCCTACTAATCAATCTAGAGTATCACAAGTGAAGATTATCCCTTGCTTGTAACTACTGTGAAGTGATAATTACAGTTGTTAAATGTAACTACTGAAAAGCAGAATCATCTGACATCTTCTGTCTCCATGGAAATACCTTCTGATCTTTTGTCAAAATATGAATTCAGCTCGACTACACTTAGCTTCTGTTTGCTTTCTAAAGTAATCTGGTTGGCTAATTTTTACAATGTTGACTTTCACTAACCAATATCTTCCAGTATGAGGTTGTATGCAGGGTACAAAAAAGTACCTTTTGTTTCGGAGTGAATCTCTATCTGATAATGTAGTCTTTAACTGTTCTGAAGGTAGACTAGGTTAACACCACATTTGTTCTGCTTTGTACGGGGCATTGTTTCACAGTAAGTTGACTGTACAAAACACAGATTATGGTGAAAGGTATTTGCTATAACCACAGCACAACCTGTGTTTGCATATAATCACAATAAATACAGAGCATGTAGAGATTGTGTCCTGATGGGTTGTGCCTTCCAATACTGCCAAAAGTGCAATCTCTGTAACCTGTCCTGCCATCTCAGACAGCGATTTGTTTCTTTTGCAGATTTCTTCTGCTTAATTGCTCCTGAAAGATCACATAAGGTTTTCCGAACTGTTAGATGTCTCTTGAGGATTCTGTGCATCCTAACGTTGTTGGCTTGGGAAAGAATCCCTTGTCGCAGTTTGTATGTCCCCCAGTTCAATTTGGATTCAGTTTTAAGTATTCTACCCAAGTGTTAGAAGAATATTTCTGCTTGCCAAGTCCCAGTTTAATGCAAATGACATGAGGGAGAGAGAAAAGATGAAATGATAGAGCTACAGCACTATTGCTACAATGAAAACAACCAGGATTTATACAAACAGGGCAATCTTTCACCATTTTGATTATTGCAGACTCTGAATGTTACCTGTGTTCCAATTGTAGCTTCCAGCCAATGGGTTAAATATTATCATCTTTACACCCGACATATGAATGATTAGCGTTGACATAAGAAAAAAGATTTCAATCCACCACTATAAGAAAAAAGCATTCAATCCACCACTATAAGAAAAAATTCACTACTGTTAGTGCCGGCACAATGTGACTGCAATGTGTAACGTGTGTAAGGTGCACTACAGCAACATTTCAAGACTCCTTCTCGAATATTCAGTCTCTATCACTTTGAAGGGCAAGGAAAGCACATGTTGACAGACAGCAACATGTGCAGGTTCCCCTCCAGTTCACACACCACCGTTCTCTGGAAAAATATCAATATTCGTTCACTATCGTTGGGTCAAAATCCTGAAATTCCCTACTTGACAGCATGGTGCAAATATATACATACACTACATACGCGAGGAGCATTTTAAAAGATAGCTCATCACTATTTTGAATGCAGGTAGAGATGGAAAACAAATGCTGTACTTGCCAGAGATGCAAACATTCCATCAATAATATTTTTTAAAAGTTCTGTTTTATCGCATCTCATAGCATTTGTAATCATTGCATTTATAAGCTTTACACAGATTCAGAATTTCAAAATTAAACAATTCCTGGTGCAATTAATACAGAATGACTTCTTTTCATGCTACATTCACTACAGACCACTTATGAAAAACTTCCATATATTACCTGGCTCACTTCACTCACTTCACACTAAATAATATTGTTCATTCCTTTCAGAAAGCAGGTAGAAGGTTCATATAAAATGTCTGATATTTTGTCCTATCTGAAGTTTAAAATAAAACGTATATAAGAGTTTTTGAGGCTTGAATGAAACCACACAACCCCCTGGGTGGAATATTAAAGATACATGAATGATATGGGCCACGGTGAGGTAGAAGGCCAATTTGGCTGGGAAGTCTAGAAAGGCCTACCTCGACATTGGAAGCAACTCGCTGCACCTTTTATGCATCTGCAATGTGGCAGAGTGAATTTTTCTCCAAGCAGCGGCAAGGTGCCAATTAAGGGAGATTTTGCTTGTTATTGCTTATTAATTTGCTTATTAATGCTGCAACTTGCCTCATTAACGTTCAACTTCCCATCTTAACAAGCACACCAAGCAAAGTAGGTGTCAAGAATTCTCAAAATGGAAATTTGAGGGTGTACTTGGCACCTTCAGCTTACTGCTTCCTCCAAAGCACCTCCATGTTAGATACTGCGTGTCAGCATCTCAGGGTATGCTGTATGGGAGTGCCACCATCGCCCCCACCAACACATTTACAGGCATTGACATTTGACATGTGCCAGCTTCAAAGAACCCTTCTGACACATTTCTGATCCACTTACAGTCCACTTCTGTGCTTCAGCTTGGACAGTACTTTACAATTAACGTTGTAATCTACAGCAAAGACACTGTGGATTTAGAGACCTGTACCCAGCTCATGAACTTGGCCAGGCTGCGTCTCCAGGCTGTGCTCACTTGCTCTGGTAGCACACAGGGGAAGGCGATGGCCTAGTGGTGTTATTGCTGGATTGTTAATCCAGAGACCCAGATAATGTTCTGGGGACCGGGGTTCAAATCCTGCCACAGTGGATGGTGGAACTTGAATTCAATAAATATCTGGAATTAGTAATTTAATGATGATCATAAATCCATTGTTGATTGTTGGGGGAAAACCCATCTGGGTTCACTAATGGCCTTTAGGGAAGGAAGCTGCCATCCTTACCTGGTCTGGTCTACATGTGACTCCAGACCCACAGCAATGTGGTTGAATCTTAACTGCCCTCTGGGCAATTTGGGATGGACAATAAGTGCTGGCCTGGCCAGAGACACCCTCATCCTGTTAATGAATTTAAAAAAACTCACTGACTCTGGGCATTCCTGAATGCTCACTGCAACCCTGCCTTACCTTTGCCTTTTTGTACTTTACCCCCTCAGCCAGAGTTACCAGTCTACAGTCTACCAGTGCTACTGTATTGCTGTGCTGTTTAGCGCAGTCACAAAGCCAGGAAACTTGCCTAGTCGTCAGCAGTCCTTGGCCAAGTCAATGGTGATGTGCTTCGGTCAAGGAGTAAATCAAAGGCAACTTCCAATCCCAGCCCAGGGGCTTGAACTTGGTTAAGTCAGCCACTCATGCAGCCAGAGTCAAGACCCTCTCCACATAAACTGTGAGGAGCTCTATGCCAGGCAGTTCACCAACCGTCCTGAATCTTTCTGCCACACAGGGTACTGTTTTCCTCCTGGAATGAGAGAGGGAGGCAGATCATATGGGAGATGAAAGTGGGTGGCACAGCTGGGATTTTTGGTGCCAATGCAGAGGTGACCTGAGTGAGCGAGTAGGCAGCACAGAGGGCATGTGTGAGGTATCAAGGGAGAAGGTGGGTGGCACTTACTCTAGCAGAGTGCAGAAAGTTGTTGACCTTCTTCCTACATTGCTGTGTATTCCTCCAGATAGTTGAGGCTGCACTGATCTGACAAGGCTAGCAGCCTCAGACCAGATTGGCATGATCTGCAGCACTGGCCTCCTCTGCTGGTTCTAAGCAAAGAGGACAATCTGCCTATGTTCTTCCCCATCCAGCAGAGCTCCTAGGCCCTTCCCTGCAAAGTGGGACACCAAATTTTCCTTGTTTAGGGTAAATGTCAGGAACCGTGCAAGGCATCACCGGAATGCAGTGCATATCCTGGCGTACAAGGAACTTTTAAAGATGATGTGGTGTCAGGGATGCCAGTGCATTCTGGGATACCACAGAAGTGGCAAATTGTTCTGGGTACCTTGATTAGTAGAGTGGGGATAGAATTGGAAATAAGAGATGCTATAAGGACAAAGTAGGTAGTTAATGAAACAAAAACAGAAATTGCTGAGAAAACGCAGAAGGTCTAACAGCATTTGTGGAGAGAAAACAGAGTTAACAGGTCCTGATCTGAAGAAGGAAGTCACTGGACTCAAAACATTAACCCTGCTTTTTCTCCACAGAAGTTGCCAGACCTGTTGAGTTTTCCCAGCAATTTTCTGTTTCTGATTTCCAGTAGCTGCAGTCCTTTGGCTTTGTTTCTTCAATAACTAATAAGGTGAATTTCGTAAGAGACAGAGAAAAAGACCGCTGGGCCTCACAGTGAAAATCTGTCCAAAATAAGCTCAACAAAACTTGCACATATCTGAAGAAATGTCAGATTCAGCCCAAATTACTCAATTTCTTCATGCTACTGTCCCATTGTTTTATCCCTGTTACTTGAGTACAGCCCTGGATTCCAGGATGACATCAGTTCTTATTGGCTATCTCTGTTTATTTCTCATTGGTAAGTCCCCTAACCTATGTTATCATTCTTTTTCCCACTTAGTGTGTACCATTCCTTTGCTTTGGGGAGTTTCTTAAGTTTATCCTTTGCCTGAAAAGATGGGGCTGAATTTTCTGGGCCGTTTGAGGGTGGGAAAATAAACGGATCACCCATAAATTAGGAAATGTGCCAACAGTAGTGTACTTACTGCCAGTCCATCCTCCCACCAGCCTTTAGGCCTGTGAAGTGGGAGATGCCTCCTTTCTAGGCCCTCATGACCAGCTTTCCCCCAACTTGACCAAGGTGTTCCCTACATTCGCCTCTCATTGGAGACTGACACCCTGGCCCCAGCGGGATTCCAGCCTTAGCTGAATGTTGAGACCCACCACTGAGTGGCACCTTCTTGACATACCAGCAGTAGCCACCACTCTTGCTTAGCACTGCCAGAGCTGCCAACCAGCAGCTTGATAAGCAGCACTTCTTCCTGGGAGTCCCACCTCTCACTAAAGGGTTGTCACATGAAAAATGAAGGTTGAGTGAGCAGGCTAAGTGGAGGTCAGCTGGCCCATAGAATTTACACTTGCCTGCAGGGAGCCTGCTCTCAGTGTAAAGTGCAGTCCATAATCCTTGTTAGCTCAGAAACTTTCATCATAGTTCCCTTATATCAATCATTTCTCAAGCCTTGTAAATTCAAATTAGCCCACTCCTGAAAGGTTGTGATCTAATTTAGGTTTGCCAAAATATTCTTCTGAATGTCATACCATTGTTGATCTTCCTAGCAATGATATGCAGCTCCTCTCTGTTCAATATTGCCCTGAACGTCGTCAAAGGCTTTGAACTAGTCAGGCAATGGTCTGAGGAGGCTATGGTTTAGTGATATTATTGCTGGACTCTTAATCCAGAGACCCAGATAATGTTCAGGGGACCTGAGTTTGAATCCCACCACGGCAGATGGTGGAATTTAAATTCAATAAAATATCTAGAATTAGAAGTCTAATGATGACCATGAAACCATTGTTGATTGTCAGGAAAAGCCCATCTGGATCACTAATGACCTTTAGGTAAGGAAACTGCCATCCTTACCTGGTCTGGCCTACATGTTACTCTAGACCCACAGCAATGTGGTTGACTCTTAACTGCCCTCTGGGCAATTAGGGATGGGCAATAAATGCTGCCTGATCAGTGATGCCTTCATCCCATGAATGAATAAAGAAAAGGACGCTGTACATTAAATCATAATTGCAACTTCATCCTTTAGAACAGTAACTTCGTAATTATGTCATATGCTGAAAAACACTCCTGAGGTGTGAAAAATGGCCTCTCCTTAATGCTTTCTTCATTTGTTCTCTCTTGATCCCTCAAATTAAATCTATGAATGTTCGACACGCTTTGTTTCTTCATATTATTTTTATTTGGTTCTGTCGAAGCTTAAAGCCACTCTTACCCACTGATGTTATTCTGATTTCCGATATGTTAGTGCATGTAACATATACCACATGAAGGCAGATATCTGGAAGTTCATTAGCCAATGGTAATGTACACTAAGAGAGTATCTCAGACTTGCATATATAATTTGGTAATACGCTGATGTATTACTGTTATAATATCGAACAACATCGCCCAGAACAAACAGGCTGTTAAAAAGTGGTCGCTGACCACAAATGGCTATCTAAAAGAATCACAGACATTGTTCATTGTGAAAGTCTATGGTGTTTTTGGCATGGTTGATGCATTTTAAAAGTGTTTGTTCTTTTGTAGAAATCTTTACTAGTACCGATCACAATAGCCAACAAGAGTTGATTGAGATATATATATCTTGTTTTGAAAGGTTTGGCAAAAGATAGAGGATCCTGATTGGGCACCTGAAACCTACTTGGATCTGGAAGACCTACCATGCATTCTTATCTTATCTGGTGCCGATCCTTATGGAGAATCCTTTCCACGGTACACACTACCTTTTTTTGTAAAGAAGATTTGATTATTATTACTGACTAAAATTTCTCTCTCGAGCGGTAAAGGTATGTCCAAACATTGGAAGTTATTTTAAATCACCACAATTGTAAGATTTTGTTGTCTGCTTATTATTTGGAGAAAAGATAGCTATCCATTAGTGGTGGAAACTGAGGGACATGTAAATGTGTTGGAGGGAGGTGTTTTTTTTCCCAAAGTTGATCTATCGTCTGGCTCTTTGGGTTCCCGACTCACTGTGTCTGAGTTCACCAGACAGCTGGGTGACCTGTGAGCACCCAGTTTATAAATTGTGTTGAATTCAAAGGAAAGGGATACTTTTGCAATCCATTCCAATGATTGGCTAGCATGCCGTGCTTATGTTTTAACCTGAAAGTAGCCACGAACCATCTACCACCAACTGTGGGATCAATCGTGAGGAATGAACTTAGTAAGTAGTTGTTATGTAAGGCACAGGCTCCCTTTTGGGTGGTTTGTTGGTTATATTTCACTATTAGGAAAAAGTTTGGGAAACGACTATTAACAATGTACTGTGCGAGACAACCAATCTTGTTTGCACAGGAAAAGAAAGTTCAGAGAATGTTGGCTAGACTAACATCTGGAATGGAGGATGAATCTGGAATGGTCTCATGAGGAAAGATTGAACAGGCTAGCCTTGTATCCCCTGGTGTTTTAGAAGGCTAAGAGGTGACTCAATTGATGCAGAAGAACCTCAATGGCCTAGACAAAGTAGATGTGGAGGGAAAGTTATTAATAAATGGCCACGTACACTAATATAAACATGTCAGACTTGCATAGACACTCTGGGTTATATGCTAACTTATATTGCTGTGATAGTATAGAATGACATTGGCCAGAACAAACAGGCTGTTAAATACATCCCATGTGCTTCCTCTTGTGGGAAAATCTGCAACTGGGTGGGTTGGGGGGAGGAGACGCTGTTTCAAATGAGAGGGTCACCGAGTTAAAACGGGGATAAGGAGCAAGTTTTCTTAAGAGGCTGATGATTCTTTGGAGCCCTCTTCCTCAACGGGCAGTGAAAATAATGTCTTTGAATATTTTTGAGGCAAAGGTCAAGAGTTTCTTTCTAAGCAATTGGTGGAGGGAGTCTATTGAAGGTAGATAAGAATAAGGAATTAAGCTTATAATCAGATCAGCCATGATTTTATAGAATGATGGAGCAGATTTGAGGGGCTGAGTGGCCTAGTCCTGCTCCCAATTTGCCTGAGTGTATATATTCCTATTCAATTTTAACATTACAAATGTGGCCCAGTGGTTAGCACTGTTGCCTAACGCTGCCAGGGACCTGCTTTCGATTCCAGCCTCAGGTGACTGTATGGAGCTTACATGGATCTGCATGGATTTCCTCCGGGTGCTCCAGTTTCCTCCCACAGTCCGAAGATGTGTGCAGGTTAGGTGGATTGACCATGATCAATTGCTCCACAGTGGACAGGCTAGGTGGATTAACTATGGTAAATGTCAGGTTATGGGGATAGGGTGAGATGTCTTTGGAGGGTCTGTGCAGAGTTGATGGGCTGAATGGTCTCTATCTGCACTGTAGGGATTCTGATTCTATGGTAGAGTTTGGTTGTAGTTGAGATGGCCTAGTGGTATTATTGCTGGACTGTTAATCCAGAGACCCAGATAACGTTCTGGGGACCTGGGTTTGAATCCCACCACGGCAGATGGTGGAATTTGAATTCAATTTAAAAAAAAGTCTGAAATTTAGAGTCTGATGATGACCATGAATCTATTGACGATTGTGGACAAACCCATCTGGTTCACTAATGTCCTTTCGGGAAGCAAACTGCCATCTTTAACCTGGTCTGGCCTACATGTGACTCCAGACCCACAGCAATGTGGTTGACTCTTAGCTGCCTCTGGGCAATTAGGGATGGACAATAAATGCTGCCTAGCCAGTGATGCTCTCATCCCATGAATGAATAAAAAAATTAACAATTTAAAGAAACACAAAATAAAAACCGAAAGAATTGCAGATGCTGTAAATCTGGAACAAAAACAGAAGTTGCTGGAAAAGCTCAGCAAGTCTGGCAACAACTGTGAAGGAAGAATCAGAGTTAACATTTCGGGTCCAGTTTTGGATCATCAGACGCCATTTCTACCACCTCCAGCAAGATGATACCACCAGACGCATATTCCCCTCCCCTCCCTTGTCCGCCTTCCGCAGGGACCGTTCCCTCCGGGACACCCTGGTCCACACTTCCTTCACCCCCAACACCTCCCCACAGCCCTACAGCACCTTTCCCTGTAACTGGCGAAGGTGCAACACCTGCCTGTTTACCTCCTCCCTCCCCAGTATCCAAGGGCCCAAACGTACTTTCCAGGTGAAACAACAGTTCACTTGCACTTCCCAGAATCTAGTCTACTGCATTCATTGCTCACAGTGTGGTCTCCTCTACATTGGGGAAACGAAGCGTAGACTGGGTGACCGCTTTGCAGAACAACTACATTCTGCCTGCAGAAAAGACTCTGAGCTTCTAGTTGCCTGCCACTTTAACACTCCACCCTGTTCCCTGGCCGACATCTCTCTCTCTGGCTTGTTGCAGTGCTCCAGCGAAGCTCAAGGCAAGCTGGAAGAACATCACCTCATTTTCCGCTTAGGGACCCTGCAGCCCTCTGGACTCAATATCGAATTCATTAATTTTAGGGCCTGAACTCTCCCATGTCCCAGCCACCCACCCCACACACCAGGCCCAACCATTTCAACTCCCCCTCCCATTCCTCAGACGACATGTCCATCCTGGGCCTCCTGCAGTGCCACAACGATGC